CCTCTGCCCCCGCCACCCCCGAGCCTACCACCACCACTGCCCCCGTCACCCCCGAGCCAACCACCACCACTTCGACCACCGCCACTCCGTCGCCTAGTCGCGACTTGTGCTAAATCCTCAAGAGCAATAATGATAACTGTAGTGACTTTTTTATCGACATGTTCGCTCTCCCATGTCAATCAATCATAGCCAAAATTATAGCAAAGCTAGTCCTAACGTTAGGGCATCTCCACCGCGCGACAACCGTACCTGTCAAAATTATAAATTTATGATCTGTGTACACACAAATCATCTACCGTCGAGTTGACCGCATAGGAGTCGATACCAAACTTACATGTTAAGTTTGGTGCTATATATATACTAGTATATTGATATTGTCGTTTTGAAACCCATAATTAATTGTATGAGTTCTCAAGAACAATACTGTATACTAGTAATACTGTATTCACACTATGTTATTGCTACAATACTTCAGTATACTAATTAATACAATTTTGAGTATCCCTGACCTTCTGTAGATAGGAATCCCTTTCCATCGACTAAAAGTACAAATTATATTAACGTTATTGTGGATTCGATACGAATCTCCAGACCCCCCATCGAATCGAATCTCGCCGCCGAATCGAATCACGAATCGACGCTATTGGCTACTCCAATTTTGAGTGATTTGATTGGCTCTTAAAGATACTCAACCAATCAGAACTCCAGCGTGATTCAATATTGATTAGACAAACCACGCGAATGTTGGAAGTTTATAGATATTAATACTACCTCCGGCCGGAAATTAACCAGACATTTGGTGAAAATTGATAAAATTGGTGTTTTGTTTGATGGTGTTATCTGTTTTTGCCCTAAGTATGCTTGTTGTATAATACATATTAGTATGGCCAGTTTCCCTGTGGAATATAATACCTTAAAGATGAATACCCTAATGGATAAATACGTTCTACTCTATGAGTGTTGGTGGCTTACATGCATTCCACCCGCATCAACCAATAGTCAGCAACAATTTAAACTATATTTTGTACAGAATACAAATTACTGCAGGTGTATAATATAATTAGTATCAAATCGTGACAGATATCCGGATACATGTTATTGGTCTCTATAACATAATTTATTCCGGTAAATTCTGAAAAAACCTCCAAGAATAAAATGGCTGGTTTATTTCCAGTAGTACTATCGTTATTATACAGTAAGTTAGTACAAAGTAATGCTAAATTGGTTAAATTATCGTACTGTTAAACTGGTTTGTTACGTTAAACCGCTGACGCAAAATATCTCCATACAAACATTCAGTTCGGGCCGATCGGCATCACGAAGATCGCTTGATGTCTCTGCGTTCGTTCCTATGGAGTGGACTGCTATGTTTCCTTGTGATGAAAGTGGATGCTAAGCGAGGATGCGCAATGACACAAGACTGCCTCAACCCCAACAACACACCTGACTTCAATGAGTGCATTCCCAAAGCTCTCGAACATGTCGCTCCACCACAGCCGGTACGTCGTCATCGTCGCGTAGCAAAGATACCACAGTCCAATGTGTAGATGTCTGGCACAGGATGGGCCAACGGTATGTAACAGCTGTTCACGCCGCGCACACAAGCTCAAGTATATATCTCTTGGCGTTGTAGTGACTGGCGGCGGGACATGCGTGTCGGATGCAGACTGCCACAAGGGGACTTGTGTCGACAGCACATGCCATTGCAAGGTAGTAACGCTACGTCCGTGGACCATTCCCTCAACATTTCATTAGGTCGATGGCGTCACGGCCGGAGCGCACTGCGACGACTTTGCCATCCAGTGTCCAGAGTACAAGGCTGACGCGTGTTGCTCATGGCAGCAGAATCGAGCGCTAGCTGCGAATTTCAAGCTGATTTCGAGTGTCTTTGGAACAGCCGGCGGCGGCTGCGATGCCTGGTACGTGACCTCGATCGTCGTCGCCTGGCCCTTTCTACATGCGATGTCTAGTGCGGCCAACATCATGCAACTCTGGTGCGGCCTGGTGTGTTCGCCATCCCAAGCTGACTTTATGGACATGCACTTGCCATATCCAAGTAACTCGTTCCGCCAAGACCCCATGACAGGCGTCGACCATGTCAAAGTGCTCGAGGTCGGTACCACACTATTTGAACAACGTGGTCGGTACCACACTATTTGAAAAAAGTACTCATTCGAACGAGATCATACATGTACCCAGGTGAACGTCAACCTGTCGACGCCGTTCACGTGTGGGTTGTTCGACTCGTGCAAGAGCACGCCACTGGTGTCAGTGACCGATGCGCTCAAATCATCCGTGGGATTCCTCAGCTACCAGGCGCAGACGGGCAGCATCGGCCACGGCCAGTACATGTACCTTCGCTTTGGTATGATTGTCCTTTTACCCAAAATTTGGTTGACTTTTGTGCGGATTCTTTGCCAAATATAACGATCGATCATCTTTGTCCTGGCTTTTGTATGTAATAATTGTCCAGTGTCACACTAATTGCATTCACACACTCATTCGGTGTTGAATTGATCGAGAGTGGATGATGATTTGATTGGCCAGTTGATTCTTGTTCTGGGTTTTGATTGGTCGTATATCGATTGTCTGTCGATTTGGTTATTCTACTCATTCGATTTTGAGCGCCCAAACACTCGAATTTCGAATCGACTTGACAATATATTATTGTTCCTTGATATATTCATCATTCTTATGTATGGGATCTATGGCCCACGATGAGCTGCTGCTGCTGTATAGGCCGCAACGACACTTCGTACTTCCACCACGCGAACCTCCAGTGCGACAACTACACTCAGGTGCGAGAACCCACGGTGCTGGCAGCCCTGCCCCTCCAAGCCCAACTCCTGTCCACAATTGCGGACGCCGCCGCGCCGGCGCAGTGCCCTTGCTCGTCCTGCAGACCCACATGCAGCAACGCACCGTCCAACTCGTCTACGCACATCACCTTCGTGTCCAACCCGATTTCGATCTGGGACGGATTCAATGTCACCCTCGTAGCTGGTGTGTACTCTGGCATTGCTGTATTCGCAGCCGCGTTGTATTGGCTCTATCGACACCGTTAAGCACGTGGTGGCAGCAGCCCTAGCGGAAAGTTTGGTTGAATATGCATTATTACCAAGCTAGCGTTACTGTATTCAATTTATTTACGTGAAGGAGAGAATACATACAAAAATAATACTATATGTATGATACTAGAATGCTCTCTTTCATAGGATTAACTGTAAACCAAGGGACAAGTGTGGTAGGGCTAGTTAGTTTTGTTTCGAAGAACTGTGTGGATAGTCGAAGTGTGAGTAAGTAAATAAACAAGGCTCACGTGGTTAAGGGTTGCGTCTATTTCAAAAAAATAAAAATATATATTGCATTTTCTCGCAAAATATAATTAACCAAACTGCCATTTTCAAAATGGAGGGTAAATGGTCCATTTGTTTGTAATATGGCGTTTTGGGCCTCTTAAATCCCACACGAAATTATTGGATTTGGGTTAAAACTATTTATCCATTTTGATTAGATTTGTTGAATTCGGCCCCAACATTGCGCTTGGTACTGAATATTGTAATATTTCCTGTTGCTAGACGGGCCCTAACAGTTTGTTGGAAATGCAAACTACATAGTTACCATTTGGTTGCACCCATAATAATATGCGTGCGTCGATGAAATATCGCCCGATTGCGTTTCCAGCGAACGCTACTAACTTATTCATATTTTGTGGGGACCATGGGCTCGTTCAAACAACGCGACAAACCATTCGTTGACCGTTTAACTAGGACAAAATAGACATTTCCCTGGTACCTAGCACGAGGGCTTGGTCGTGGTGGGGGAAGGGGTCGAGGGGGAAGGGGTGGCGGACGCAGCCTTGAAGACGTTGATGCGTCCGTATCCGTAGTTGTTGTTAGGGTACTTGCTGTCGTCGAGGCCGCCGCACGTTTGGTTGGTCGGGGTCAACGTCGAAGTTTCAGCGGTTTTGGTAAGTGCAGCGTAGATTTCATCGTACGTGATGGTGGGCTTGGACGAGATCAAGAGCGCGACGGCTCCCACGACATGGGGGGTGGCCATGGAAGTTCCCGACCACGAAGCGTAGCTCGAGTTGCCGGCCGCGGTGGCCGAGCGCACGGACTGACCAGGAGCCGACACGTCAGGCTTCAACACGTTCTTGGGGCCAGGGCCACGGCTGGAAAACCCAGCGAGGGCGTCCGTGGACGTGGTCGCGCCGACGCCGATAACGTTAGGGTAGTCCCCCGGACTCAAGACGGTGCCGCACTTGGGGCCAGAGTTGGCGTTGGCAAACACGGGGATGATTCCCGCCTTGCGCCACGCCGCCACGGGGCCCTTGTAGTACGGCACGTCGGGGATTTCGTTGTCGTCGCCCCACGAGTTGTTGATCACGTGGGGGGCCAGCTCGCACTTGGGGTTCTTCCCTTGGTAGTCGTGAGGGCACAGCATGTATTGCGCACACGCAACCAACACCACTTCGGGGCACGAGCCGTCAGGCAGGCAGCCCTGGCACGCGATCCACTTGGCGTCCGGCGCTACGCCAATGCCGCCGGCACCCACGGATGTGCCCATGGTGTGGGAGCCGTGGCCGTGCCCGTCGACGGGGAATTGGGAGTTGCCCACCGGTTGAAAGAATCCGTTTTCGGAGCGCCAGTTGCCCTTCAACGCTTCGTGCGTGTACAACACACCCGTGTCGATGCCGCCAACGACGACTCCCTTGCCGGTGAAGCCCTTCTCCCAAAGGGAAGGGGCGGCGATCTTGTTCACGCCCCATTCGGTGGCTGCGGGGGCAGACCCTTCGGACGCGGCGGTGTGCGGCGCCACGAGCTTGCCGTTGTACTGGTGGCGGATGGTCTGGACGTTGGCGTCGGTGGCAAGGCGGTCGAGCAAGGCGGGGGTCGCGCCTTCCAAGACCAAAATGTTGGCAACGGCCAACGTCTTGGCCGAGACAATCACCTTCAGTTCGTGGCTGGCTTGGGCGATGATGTCCAACGCGCCGGCTTGTTGGCGGCTGGCGTAGTCGACCAACGTGTCGTAGATCGCTTCAATCTTGGCGCCGCGGGTGGACACGGATTCGATCTTGGCGTCCGCCGCGCTCAACACGTCGTCAGTGATGGGGGCAAATTCGACAACCAAGATCGACGGCACAGACCCGGTGAGTTCAATCTCGCGCGACAATTTCGGCGAGATCTTGGCCGACACGAGGGCGAGGGCCGCGGTGGCAAGGGCGACGCGGGTGAACATGTTGGGCAGGAGGTGGCAAATTCAAGACTAGACGTGTTCTGATGAAGTCTTGTCCTAACCTGGTCCAACATGATCGAATGGGTGCCTCGAGTGTGATTAGGGAGACTGGTCTGGGAGGAGCGAAGACAGGGTTTTCGATGGTTTCCCTCTGGGTTTCGACCACAAGGCCGTGTCAACTGTCTTGTTACTGCACCTCGGCCAAGCACCAATCGGACGACCAAGCAGCCGTGATGTCAGGGCAAACGTCCAAGAGTAATATTACATATAAACATGCCATATAACGGACAAATTTAAATAGATTTCCACAATTTATGGCGTTACGTCATGGTCGAAAGTTCCAAATACTACGTAGTATCCACGAAAAAGTAGCGATTTGAGCAATTTACAGCCACATATTCAACTTGACTGTGAATTACTTGTACTATTAATAGTATAGTACGGTATTGTACATTGATATCGCCAGTGGAGAACCTGGAAGAACGAGGTACACGTTAGGCTTAAGGTTTTACTCGGAACAGGCCCACCTGCGATAGCCCCTCCATGACAGCAGCACCGTGGAACAAGGGGCTCGTTCAGGCATTGGAGACCAATGCTCTACCGATAGATTTAAATCAAAATGGAGAAAGTCGATAGCGCGAGGTAAATAAAGAAAGTAAACGCAACCAATCCGTGGCGCAACTCGCGTGGCTTCCCCGTGGGCTGTGTACTGTAAATGACACTGTCGACTACAGAAAGGTGGAAAGAGTAACTGAGAAAAGTCGTAGTATGTACTGTACATCGATGGATGGGTGCTGGTGGCGGGGATGACTTCCAGAGGTTACTAATTTTGGTAAGTACTATACCATCAGCCGTACAAAAGTCATTGGATTCTCACACAAACTCATTCGAGCATCTCCACCGCGTTTCAGTAAATTCAGCATTCAGCGGGTCATAACATCGACTGGGGACTCAACCACACCAATGTCGGCAGTTACATGTCCGTTTGGTCACCTTGACCATAGTGCGTTTTGCAATTAATTCCACCTTGCGGAAAGTGATCGGGGTGCACGCAGCTAGCCGAGCTAGTCGACGCGGTATACGGTGTAGCTAACTAAGCTAGCCGTCTAGAGTTAATAGTTAGGCGTCGTAGTGCCAGGCCGATATTTCGAAACCCTGTGTCGGTTTCGAAAGGAGTATTATAGGATTATAGAGGTGTATATTTGTGAATACTTCTGTGAGTACAAAATATGAAAAGGCACCCATATTTGAATTGACCAATCAGACTGAATGAAATTTGAATTCCACTGTTTGATTGGATGTACCTGTCGCCTGACAAGTTCGGCGCGACAGTTTGCATCGAGAGATGAGTACCACGCAAACTGCGTCTGCGGCGACCGATGCTCAAGGCGTCAAGGTCTACGTGAGAGTCCGTCCGATGAGCGCAAGTGAAGTGGAGCAAGGATGCGACAGCGCCTTCGCGGCTGAAGCTGCATCGATCACGCTCGGACCCAAGACATATGCGTTCGACGAGGTGTTCAACGCAACCGAGTCTCAAGATCACGTCTTCACACATAGCGCCGCGGGGTTGCTGGATGGATTCTTCGAAGGGTACAACACGACGGTCTTCGCATACGGCCAAACAGGGTCAGGGAAAACGTACACCATGGGCGTAGAGCATGGCGGGGTCATCCCGCATGTCGTGAGCGATGTCTTTTCCCGGGGCAAGAAGCTCGACACGGACAAAATGACGACGGTCGTGCTCAAGATGTCGTACTTGGAGATATTCAACGAAGAAGTTTTCGACCTCCTCGCGTCCACCCCTACGACGAGCCTCGCTGTCCGCGACGACCTGAAGCGCGGGATTATCGTCGCGGGGCTATCCGAGCACGTCGTCCGTTCTACGGACGAAGTGAACCAGCTCCTACTTCAAGGCGCCGGCCGACGAGCGACTGCATCCACGGGCATGAACGACACGAGCAGTCGGTCTCATGCTATCTGTACGCTGTCGATGCATCAGCAGCCAGCCGAAGGCATGGCCAAGTTTTCGAAATTCCATCTCGTCGACTTGGCTGGATCGGAGCGCGCCAAGCGAACACTGGCGACGGGCGATCGTTTCAAAGAAGGTTGCCTACATCTATCCATCCATCAACCATGCTTATGCAAACTGATTGCTCTCTCATGTCGTTAGGAGTGCACATCAACCAAGCGCTGCTGACACTCGGCAAGGTCATCACGGCGCTCAGTGACAAGAAAGCATTTGTGCCGTACCGCGAGTCCAAGCTCACGCGCCTCCTTCAAGACAGTTTGGGCGGCAACAGCAAGACCATCATGATTGCATGTGTGAGCCCCGCCGACTCGAATTATGACGAAACCACCAGCACATTACGGTACGAGGCATTTAGTGCTACCAACCACATGTGACGACGGCGACTCACGGGGTACGTACGACAGGTACGCAGAGCGCACGCGGTGCATCCAAAACAAAGCCGTGATCAACAAGGACCCTGGGGCATGTGAAATCAAGTACCTCCGACAACAAGTGGAGCTGCTGCAGCTGCAATTGCTGCAGGCTAAATCGGGTATTCCCACGATGTGGCAACCTCCGCCGCCACCCGCGATGACGACGACGACTACTGGCAGCATTACCAGTTCGTTGAACACGTCAGTGTCTTGTACGTCCAAAGCAGACTTCACGCAAGACGAAGGGTTGCTGTTGCTACCGCAAGAAGCCAAAGATCATCAGAAGAAATGCATGGCGCAACATCCACACGACGGGGCGGTCAATGCCGCCGACCTCGCGGTACGCCATCGTGTTCAATATGTGTTGTCGTCTGATGTGGAGGTAGAACATGGAGCGAGTGATCGAAGAGAAGGAAGCGCTGATGCATATGTTGAACTCGGTGGACGAGAGCCAAATTGGCGCCGAGCTGGAAGCGCTGATCAAGCAGTACGAAGCCAAGATCCAGTTGCTCCAAACACCGACGAAAACGTCGCAGTTGGCGGTCGCGACGGCCGCCCAGACCGAAGTCCGCCGGCTCCAACGACTGCATCAGCAGGGCCAGCTCAAGATTTCGTCGCTTCAGGTCGAGCTCACGAGCATGAAGCAGATGAAAGCGTCGCTCCAGCGCAAGCTCAAGATGGAGGTGGGCAACGCCCAGAAAGAACACCGGCGGCAGTCGCTCGCGATCCTGCAGCTGCAGCGCAAACACACCAAGAAACAAATGGAGATCCACAAGCTGAGCCATCTCCACGCACAGCAAAACACGATGCTCAAGCGCAAGACTGAAGAGCTGGCAAAATTGCAATCGTCCAACAAGCGGGTCAAGCCAAGTACGGCGATCATCTCTCTTTCTACTGACATACTTCGAAGTACATGATCTGGAACTATATGGGAACGTGGTAGATGAACAACCTGCCGCCATGACGACGGACGCCGCGGCGCAGTTGGTGGACGACGAGGTCGAGGTTGAGATGACCCTGCTTGGAGCCAAGGCAGCCATCAAGGTCGAAATCGAGGAGCGTGCGGCGTTGGGTATGTTGTTGTCGTCGTAGTTTGAACTGGAATATTGAGTGGTTTGGGGCGACTGTAGCGAAAACGATGCGACGGACGCCGCCGGGGGGCGAGGCCAAGCTCAAGATAGAGCAACAGCTAGCCGACAAGAACGCAGACATTCGAAAGCTGCAGCAAAAGCTGGATGTGGTCGAAAGACATCATCGAAGTGGTACGAGCCGATTGTGTCCTGCGTCGGTGGGATCATGCCACAAAGTGATTCAGGTACAAGAGAGATGGATGGATAGTGGCGTTGAATGACGATGATGATATTGCAGGCGTTGTTGGCCACAGCCGTGACAGCAAAGGCGCGCTGCTTGGACTTGGTGGACGTGGACAAGCAACTCGGGCACGTGGAAGAGCAACTTGCACAGACACAAGCGCAATGTGCCGAGTTGGCCGCCCAAGTCGCGCGATTACAAGTGGAACTGCAGTCTCGACCGGCCAAGAAAGTTCGGCCCAAGCCAAAAGCAACGACGGACATTGTCGACGAGATGCCGAGTGAGAGTGAAGATGACGACGAGTACGACGACGATTCAGACTACACGGAAGATGGCGGGCGGAGTCGCCGAGGGCGGAGCAGCGCCCGCAAAGACAGAGCCAAACCAAGCGCGACCGTCACCCCAGGCGACAATGACTCTGCCGACTGCTGCCAGTGCAATGGCAAATGCGCGACCAAGAACTGCGCGTGTCGAGCGCGTTCCGGTCGATGCGGAGACAAGTGCAGCTGCAAAGCGCACAAGTGTGGAAACCGACAGGTCGACAACGACAGCATCCTGCAAGAGCTGTGCGGTCCAAACCAAGTGATCTCGGTTCTAGGTATGTCAAGTAGGGTCCATCGTAGTACTGTACTGTAGGGGCGTCATGTGTCTGGTAGAGTTTGCGTCACCCATGCCGAAAGTGCCGCTGCCGCCGATGACGACTCAGTATGAAACCGCCGAACTGGACAAAGAGAACAAGCATCATGGAGTGCATGTGTTGGTGACTCCGCCCCCGCCCATGGTACATAATACTTCCAACCAACCCACCCACCAGTCGAAGAAAGGACTAACGAGACGCTTACAAGCATCATCATCATCGGCATCTCACGGCGCAGCAGTCGTCCCCAATATGAAGAAGCTGTACGACCCACGTCCTTCGGATGTGCCCGCGTCGTCGTCGTCCCTCACTGCAAGGCTCAAGATGTTGTAAAAGTGCGTGGATTCCAAGAAGTGAAATGATGGACCATCATTTATTATATGAATAGTATATTAAAATTCATTGCCATTTATACTATTATTTTGCCGACGAATAAAAATACATCGAATCTGTCGTAAATATATATGATATGTAAAGGTAAGGGTTGGTGTACGGTGGTGGTTTATTTTATTAAAAACACATCACTCGCAGAACCAGCGGCAGCGATCGCTTCCTTTCACACGGAATGAGCTACGACCACAGCCTCATCAACGGCGGCTACGGACCTGTCCATGAAGGCGGTGGCCTCGTAGAGACGGTGGACGATGAATTTGATGGATACGACGACAATGATACCGTAAGTTCCTCCGCGATCATCCTGCTTCCCCAGACGCAGGCGGCGACCACTACTACGGCGTCGACACAGCACTCGTCGTGGAACTATGTCGCCGAGCCGCAGCTGTTCCGCGGGTTGAGTAACCAAGGGGCGACGTGCTACATGAACTCCCTGCTTCAGTCGTTGTACATGACACCTGAATTCCGCCATCGACTGTACCAATCCGAGACCGCTCGCGACCACGGCGACACGGCGGACTTGGAGACGAACATCCCATTCCAGCTCCAAAAGCTGTTTGCCCACCTCCAGCTGAACAAGGACCGCAAGGCCATCGACACGAAGGCATTGACGAAGAGCTTTGGGTGGAATTCCTCGGATGTGTTCCAGCAACACGACGTCCAAGAGCTGTGCCGCGTGCTATTTGACGCGCTGGAAGAATCGCTCAAGGGCACCCCCACGGAGCACTTGGTGAACGATCTGTACCAAGGTAGACACCATCTCGTCTTGTGTGTTCATAGTTCAATGCTTGGGCAGGTCAATTGAAGGACTACGTGCAATGCGCAAACTGCGGCAACGAAAGCAGTCGCGTCGACAACTTTCTCGACTTGAGTCTGGTGATTCGGCCATTTGGGTCGTCGACGGAGATGATGAAGAGCGTCGAAGAAGCGATCGAGTACTTTTTGAAGCCGGAGATGCTGTCGGGGGAGAACCAGTGGGACTGCGCGCGCTGTGGGACCAAGCAAGACGCGATCAAAGGGCTCAAGTTCTCCAAGCTCCCGTACATGCTAGCCCTACAGCTCAAGCGTTTCGACTTTGATTACACGACGTTCAACCGGATCAAGCTCAACAACCAAGTGCGCTTCCCCAAGTACCTCAACATGAACACATATGTGCACGACACCACACAGACATCAACAACCACGACGACATCGGGCGGCGGCGCCGTCGCGCGAAAGATGTCCCTCGAACGCCAAGAGCTCAACGACAAGCACGACGACATGTCTCCAAGATCTGTCGGCGGCGATTCGGCCTCCTCTTCCTCGTTGTCGCCCCCAACAACATCCCCCCCCCTGGACGACGACGACGACGACACGTGGCATGCCGCGTACAACGTGGACGCGGTGCTCGAAGCCAGCGGGCCGTACGTGTACGAGCTGTTTTCGGTGCTGATCCACTCGGGCAGTGCGATGGGGGGCCACTACTACGCGTACATCAAGTCGTTTGAGGATGGCCAGTGGTACAACTTTAACGACTCAACAGTGACCAAGATCACGGACGCCGAGGTGCAGACGGCGTGGGGGCCGACGTCGCACCAGGCGTCGACGTACGGGGGGTACCGGTCGTCGGGCAGCACATGCGCGTACATGTTGATGTATCGGCTCGTGGATCGGTCGCGCAACGAGGCGGCGATTGCAGACTCGCAAGTGCCGTCGTTTTTGAAGGACTTGATCGTGTCGGACGAGTCGAAGCGGCTGGAGAAGGAAAAGGAGCGCGAAGAAAAGGCGCGGCTGATCCAGCTCAAAGTGTTTGCGGACGATGCGACAACGTTCAAGACGATGCACATCTCGAAACTGACGCCGCTGTCGGCTGTGACAGAGAAGGCTTGCGTTCTGTTTGACCACATCACATATGACCCCGCCCTGGTCCGGCTGCGTAGCTACAGCGAGTACACCAAGATGCCACAGGACACATACACGGGTCGAGAGCATTGTAGTCTTATGCAGCTGCAGCTGTACGCGCACAGCAGCCTCTTCCTCGAAGTCCGATCGTCCATTGATCAGCCGTGGGTCGAGTACGATGGCACGGCGCTCCAGCTCGTGGTGCGCAAGTATGAGCCGCTGCCGAGTCCCCATTTCACGAACCCGCCGTTCAACCTGCAGATCTCAGACCGCGCGACGGTGGAAGACCTCGTGGACGTGCTGAGCGCCAAGTTTGAGCTGCCGCGGGCACAGTGTCGGGTACTACACATGAGTGCGAACGGGTACTGGAGCATCCAGACGAGTATCCTCAACCCTGCGGATGAACCAGAGTACATGCAGCGGTCGCTTCAAATGGACATTCGTCTGCGACACGGTAGCGAAGTGTACGTGGAGGCGTGTCCGAGCTTGGACACGTGGAGCGACGCCAAGGATTTGTTTGAGACCCAGGCGCATATGATTACGATCCAGGTCAAGTGCAAGGACAAGGCCATGGCGAGTCGGGTGGTGCAAAGTGGTGATGGCGGGGGGACCGCCGAGGATGGCGGCGGCGTGACGTGGCGGTTTGTGGTGGACCGCCGCGACGCCCTCCAAGTGCTAAAGGACAAACTGGTGGCGTTTCTAGACATGCCTCCTGATACGTTCAAGCTGTGCCGCGGGTCGTCGGACAAGGCGCAGGAACTCAAGGCGCTCGATGTTTCGTTCAAGAACTTGACGCTCATGGACAACTCGACGCTGTTTGTCGCGCCCGGGCGGCCGCTGCACGTGAACGAGTTTCACGTGCAGATTCAATGGTATCAGCCCAAGGCGCAAAAGGAAGAAGAAGGAGATGACGTGGCGCGCCGGTTGTTTCTGGACGACTTGGCCAAGGCGGGCGACATGTCGTGGCTCATGACGTTGATTGTGTCGGGGGAGATGCTCGTGGACGACGTGCGCGCGTCGGTGGCGGCGGCGTTGGCGAGCCGCGGCATCGACGCGCCCGCCATCCGCCTTCGCGACTACGCCAACAAGCGCATGAACACGGTGCTCATGGACGGACTCAAGCTGCAGCAAGCGTCCCAGCTCACTTTGTACGAGAACCGCGAGTTCGTGGCCCAGATCCTCCACGAACCAGAGCACCTGCCCCGCGACCACATGCTGTACAACATATCTGTGTTTGATCGCGCGACCTTGACCTTTGGGCCGAGCCATGAGATTGTGTTTGGGTACCGCCATGACATCACGGAGCGGCACTGGATCGACGTGCTCGCGGCGGCCACGGCGGCGGCCACGGGACTCCCGGAAGCCACGATGCAGTTTGCCAAACCGTTCCAGACCCAGGAAGTAAGTGTCCTGGATGTGGAGGACTTCACATGGACGGACAAGGACAACGCCCGCCGCCACGCCAACCCGCACACGCTCGGACTGTACGGCGACCGCCTCCTCGTGTCGGATCGCGCGATTCCGCTCAAGGAACTGACGGCCGACGAGCGCGCCGAGCTGTCGGCGGTCCTTGATAAGGCAACGTCGACCAACGTCGAGACGCTGTACCACTCAAACCAGCCGACGTATGGCCCGCCCGCCATGCCCGGGTACGCGTCTTCTTACAAGTATGCCAAGCCCAAGGAAGCGGCGCTTGTGATTCGGACGAAACCCCCCCCGTCCAAGAATGCTGCTACGACCAGTGTCGGAAATGGAGGGAGGGACAGCGGCGGCGGCGTGCCCGTGTCGCCGGGAGTGCACACGGACGATGATGACGATGACGACGACGACGCCGACTCGAAGGAGTTTGAGCGAGCTGGAGGCGCGGTGCTGTTTGACGATCTGCATTAAGCAAAGACTACACCATATGTAAAGTGTGTCCTCGTGAGAAGATCATGGACGGTCAGGTCGTCGGTGGTTCACACAACACTACATAGGAAGAGAACGACTCGATTACGCGGATGAAACAACATCATTCGGTTTGTTGGCTCGTTAAAGCATGTTTAATGGGCGAGGCCCTTGGCGGCAGCAGCCGCGACTTCCTTGCAGTGGTAGTCGAAGATGTTGCAGTCCGAGTATTGCCACGGGTAAGGCTTGTTGCGGATCTTGTTGTGCGAGTACACGGGGGCATCGTGGTGGTCGGCATGTTCGTGGCTGAAGTGGGCCGCGAAGCTGATGACGGTGAACACACCCGTGAACGCAATCGCGCCTTGCGAGATGCGCGTCCACAATTGCATTTGTTGGAGAGCTTCGGCTTCCGAACCGTGGGCGGACATGTGGCGCACTTGGGTGGTGCGGGCCACAGCGCGGGACAAGGACTTGGTCAAGATCGCAGACTACATACAGACACGAATGCGCAGGATGAGCATCTAGCTTCATGGACAGAGTTAGCGGCAACACGGTCACCCACCATTATCGGCTCGTGCTTTTCTGAACTGACTGGTCCTCGCATTGGGGAGGAAACAGTTCTATGTTTCAAACAGGTTTTAGATACAAATTTCAAGTATAACGTTTAAAACTTACCGGCACATAGAAATGAACTCCATTTGTCCGGTTACAGATTTCCGGATAACACCCACACACGGAGACTCTTGAACATTGGAGGACTTCCAAAACCTACACAAATCGCCGACACAAACTATATTTGTCCGGATATTGTCGATTTGATACAAATTTGGGGAGGGTGCAATGAAATCGCGCCGACCAAACCGATCCACAATCGAACTGATTGGTTGAATTTCATTGAGAAGGTTTTGATTGGCTAATAATTTTGAGCTCATCTGAGGTAGCCAATCAAATCGATTTAAATTTCAACCAGAAACCATGCCACAACACGAAATTTCACTCGAAAGCACAATATGATGTGTATTATTATTGTGGTCAAATTTGCTTCGTCACGTCACGCGATACCAGGGCCACCAAAACCCACGCAAGTAGCAAATTTTTCCTAATTCTATTGGGTGAAATTAATTTGAATCAACAGTTTATTGGATAAAATTGAATGGCATCGAACACCAAAAAAATATATCATGAACCTCGCTTTGGTGCTTGTGGCCTCGTGACGGCAGCGCCTGCGTCGAATCATGTATGCTCTACGAATCCGCAGACGGTTGAAAGAGCGAAATTTCATCAAGTCAATTGCACTCATTGAATCCCAAGAGATGAGTCCATGGTACACCATGTACAAGACCCGAGATGCACAGTCATTTGTCGCGACTGTGTCGGTAACACCTGATGCATTTGATTACATCTTATATTACTTTAAGCACGAGTATCTTGTGCTTTCACGACCTGGTAAGAGTGGCCGCCCTCCTCGCATACCAAAGAAGTACGCTGTACTAGCGATGCTACTGCACTTTTCCACAGCGGCTGTGGAAGGCAAGACGTTACACGAGCTCTTTGGCCTGGCCCCGAGCACGTTTTGTCGAGTGCTTCGTCGTGCCGAAGAAGCCCTCGCGCGGACGCTAAGGCGTATACCTGACGCGTCAATCCGATGGCCTTCGAAGTCACGGCAAGCTCATTGGGCCTCCAAAGCAAACGAGCGTGAACCGCTGGTGCAAGGTGTATTCGGCTTTGTCGACTCACCATCGCGTTGTGGGTATGTGCTACCAGCCTTGCTGTATTCGAGCTCAACTTTAGCCCAGCCGTTTTTGCCAAGAGGCAATATCTCTTGGACGTGGTCGAGCAAGAGATCAACCGACGCCGCACACCAACTCTTACCGCGCCCTTTGCTTGCTTTCGACATGACTCGTTGGAAGTTGAAACGCGATGTCCACGAATATTATTGGTGGGAACGTGAAGTCCAATCGTTGGCTTACCTCCTAATATTTGTATAAATAATCAAAGTAATTTTGTGCGATGTGCAACACAAACACCACGATTTGTTGAGACCAAAAAACAGCCTCAACAAATTGCGAGAGGTCAAACACATATTTTTATTTGATTTTTTTTATGTCAAGGTCCACACAAATTCATTTGTGTAGGTTTTGGAAGTTCTCCATTGTGCAGTCGAGATTGATTGATTGCACTTTCACAGACATCAAATACTGTAAATAATGTTACAGTGTCTTTGCACGCGACGCAAAGCAAATATCCATAACCATAATCAAAGGTATATAATCAAATAGAACTTTTTTATTGAATTATTGGCTTTGCTCACGCTCAATTTCATTTGATTCTTACGCAGAAACCAACACTCCTTCGTCGCGCTCTTCACTGATCCCAAGTGATTCCATGGCAGAGATGTCGCTCATCTCCAAATCGGCGGCTATTTCGACTGCAAGGTCGTGCATCACCTAGCCCACTTACTCGTCCGCTTCATGGCTGTCCGATCTGGTTCGCAACAGTAGTACTCAATTTCTATTGGCTATAAATAAAACATATGTTTGCTCTCCTCCGCTCCAATTTCGCACAAAATAGTGCTGTGTCCACCACACTCCTAGCAGCCATATTTGCATCATTCCACACGATTTAAAGGAGTTGTATAGTAGAAGACACTGTTGCGCCCATTGATCGAATGGATGATGTCACGAAGCATTGCCTCGTGTAGGGTAGCCTTGGCCTCTAGGGCTTGAAGACGACTATTTGTTGTTGATTCTTGCGATTGCTGGTCCGCAGTTCGACGCCTCAACAATCCGTCCTTTTGCTCCTTCATGGCTTTCAGTTGCGCTGGTTTCGACAGATTGTTGTGCCAAGCAACTTCATTCGCTAACGGACCATCAAGAGTAAATATATATGACTAAGTTGTACTTACGGTTTGGATATCGGTACACCGGGCCTGGTTCAACTTCGTTGGGTGCATGGAGGCCTTTGTGCCATTTCTCGTGTGGGTGATACTTGCCAAGTGATTCATGTAGTGAGACTTTAGCAAGAAGCACCCAAATTCGTCAACGGTGCATACGACTAGCGGCGATGGGGCACGTTGGGCTTGTGTAGCCGAGAGAGGAGGTTCGTCCATAGGTAGAATGCCACAAATTTGAAAATGGCTGGCACCATCCAACCGCTGTATTCAATTTAGGCAGGTAGGTATAATCTTTTACAGGTTATGCTAACGGCTGCTGCCATCGTAATCGTTATAATCACCCGTGATTTCACCGATGTGAATTTGTCATTTCACCGTTGAAAGGAACAGTCAGTGCATCGTGTGGAATGATGCAAATATGGCTGCTAGGAGTGTGGTGGACACAGCACTATTTTGTGCGAAATTGGAGCGGAGGAGAGCAAACATATGTTTTATTTATAGCCAATAGAAATTGAGTACTACTGTTGCGAACCAGATCGGACAGCCATGAAGCGGACGATTAAGTGGGCTATGCATCACCTTGTCCAGGTCTTGTAACGTAAGGGACCAATCTAAGCACACTTTTTCATCTCGTCGTGGTAAAACTCTCGTAGTTTCGCCCTGAGGAATCGGACGGAAATTCCAAATTGTGCTCTGTGAAGCTGAGATAGCGGGCTATCATATTCCGTCCAATCTATCGAGTTTCATTTGCTTTTGACATCGTTAAATCAGATTTTCTAAGCAGATTCACTGATATTGAGAGGACCAATTGAAAGTGCAAACAAATTATAGAAAGATGCATATTTTTTGCAGGGATAGGGTATTAAATGTTGTAAGGAAAATATAATAAAAAGACAGGTATACAGGATATACCATTATATGGTCGATGCCTCTCGGGTGACATTTCCGAATTTGCAGCAAACATGACATGCAACCAAATGAACTGCACAGCCAAACTTGTAGCACTCAAAATTCTTTCAGCCGTTTCACCATGAAAGAGGAATAAAGATGGGAAATTGAGCCCGATGCAGAAACACATGCAACAGTAGACAAATGAAAATTTGGAGTCATTGTCTTAGCCCAAACATTTTGTGATCCTTTCAAAGCAATAACAGTACTTCCCTTTTTTCTCGAGGCAAAGGCCGTTTCGTCCATGTTAAAGATTCGGTCAGCGGTGAGACCGTTTTTCGCGATTGTTTCGGACATTGTCTCAAACAAGCGCTCGACTGCAGCAAGGTCGACGTAGTTGCGGGCATGGCTGATGACCTGGGCCATTCGGCGAGTAAGCTTGGGATGTCGCTGACGGAACCGCTTGTACCACCCACTGGTGAGTGCTGCTTGCGCTGGGTTGACATTGCGCAGTAGCTGGGTGGCCTTGACAAGGACGGCCTGGCGATCAGGTGGGTTGCCATCTTGTTGCTTGGCACCAATCCAAGCAACAAGATCTTCTTTGCACATTTTCGGCAGGACTGTCTTCGGTCCAGGCCGCTGTCGCAAAGTCACCACGCCAGCCTTGCGAGCACGGACTGCCTTCATGAGCGTATTGTACGGGATGCGTGTGTCTTGGGCGACGGCTTTTCCCTTCATACCATCCAGCACTCGCTGTATGGCAGCGTCCAGCTCCTTGGGCTTGTACAGACCACGTGGTCCGGCCCATGTCGGCGCCAAATCAACACTGACATGGTCAGGACATCATATTATGCAGGTTTTGCCGCGAAATTTTTCAGGCCAGTGAATGGCTGTTTGAAATGCACCTTCAATTGGTCCATGCACCTTAGATTGGTCCCTTACGTTACGCTCAGCAAAGCACACCCGGTGGCGAACGTTTCGCGGCCACAGGCCATGGACCAACCGTTCGACTTGCAAGCCTCCACCACAGCCTGATCGCACGTCGGCACTTGTGGGCGCGTGTTGTCCTGCTACATCACAACTCTTTGTGTGCCGTTTGCAGCCCCTTTTTCTTCTTCGCTGGGATTACGTTCTCAATCAACAACTTCTTGTAGACAGGGCGTTGACGTTCATTGGGCGGAGTACCAGTGTAACTGCCGGACGATTGAGCGACGAACGGGGTGGGATTTCGCCGGGGAGCATGTACTTTTGCGATTTAGCTTTTTTCGCGTGGAATCACTTCTTATCCATGTGGATCTAGTCGTACATGTCGGCGAACTGAAAGTTGCTGTTGGGACGAATGAAGTGCATTGGCCATTTCACGCGGGAAACTGTGTTACCATATGCGAACGAAACATTGACTTTCACGAGTCCGCGTTGCCAACGACAGACACCGAGATGGACTTTGACGACGAAGGGCCTCTCAGTGATGCTATTCTAATGCGTGGGGTTTACTGGCCGACAAAGGGTATCAAGGCTTGAACCGTCTGATCCGCGCAATTATGCCAACGAAAAAGCCGGCGGGTGTGATGTTGTCGCAATCTGATTTGTCTTTCAACGACAAGATTGCGAGAGATCGTGTGATCGTAGAAAACATTTTTAGTCGCCTAAAAACATTGTGGGCTATAACTAGTGATAGTTATACGTGGAAGAGGGATCACTATGATCTCTTTTTCCAAACTTGTGTTGCTTTTACGAATGTTCACATTCGTATTGTACCTTTGCGGGAAGCGGATGGGCATGACCTGAATAGGTATGTCAATCGACTGATTTCTATTGGAGATCGAATCAAAGCACTCAAATTCGATGTTTAAGTGTCGAGAAAAGCGCAAGCTGCTCTTAGGTGCTTTACTTCCCACGGGAGAAAACTTGCAGCATGATTCCGAGAACTTACAGTTAATTACGGAGTTTTACGACAGCAACAATAAAATTAGTCGTATTTTTTATTAGGAAATAAGTAAAAAATGAAACCAAAGTAAAAGCAAGGGATTTTACATCGCCGATTTCGGAGAAAACAATTTTTCCCTATCCGTAGACTAGATGGAGCCCAATTCGTGGACTTCGTGGATGATCGGAGAGGTCATGGTGAAGCGGTCCCATGGGTCATTCTCCGTTAAAGCGTTGGGGCTAGTAGGGACGGCAGAGGGCATACAAAGCATTCAATTAATTGAAACTTATGTTGTGTTAGTTCAGTTGTTCTATCTGTAGGACGTTCCAAAAGACAAGCAGTGGCTTCCATCCAAAGTAGCACGCCTCGGCAACTGGCATCAAAGCGCCAGCTTCGGAGGAGTGCTTCTGTACTAGTACTTATCTGGCACTTCTAAGATATCGTTCATCAGCGACTGGTACAACTCCGGCCGGATGTATTGCTAGGCGCGGCCGACTAAGCTGTAGCGTCGGCAGAGATAGGCACCGTACTATGGCGCAACTGAAACCGCATATTTGCATAACCAGGGCTGACACAATAAAAAGCTCACTCCCTAGGGCCCAAGCGTCACCAATCTTCCGTACCTATGGTGATCAGGGGCTATAGGTCAATGATATGGTATGGGTGCACATGTAGACGACGCGTAGCAAAAAGTAATGTTCGAAACTCAGCTGAACAAAGTAGTAAAGGGGATACCCCCTTTACCACATGGTCCGCTGGGATAATCCCGTCGGGCATAAGCCACGTTATGGTAGTTCTATCGCTGAAAGCAATTGGACCCTACTTCATAACAGGGCAAAACTACACAGTTTTTACTTTTCCCTCAAATCCAACAATTATTTACAATCCTTATTATTGCGACTTACTACGTATACTGTTAGTGCGAACTTTCTCGATAACCCTAGCATTCCAATACTCTCGATTCACTCCTAGAAACATGACAACTTCTAGACTCTCAGGTGTCATACGTTGCCGCAAGGGCGAGTACACCACCTTCGCCCTGGATAACATTCTCTCTACGATATTCGACGTGGGGAAAAACAACGGAGGTCTTCGTACCCCATGACCACTTGGTCCGACAACTTGGCACTCTTCGATCGCAGGATGTCCATCGCAAGACCTGCACTGGCCTCAGGGCGCTGGCTCGCAGGGGAAATCACCGTCGCGATTTCAAACCCAGAGAGTGCCGAACGCTCGACCTCCGTCAACTCACCAACAGCACCGTCGATGACGTTGATCACTGCTGTCTCAAAGTCGGGATGCTTCACGATCGCAGCACGCGGGCTGAGGTGGTGGGACATCGAAGGAAACTAATCACACAACGCATCCATGAGCACACGGGCTTCGCTCAGCGTCAAGTCTTCGCGTTGAAAGGCAAGCGTAAAGCCTTGCATGACATCCAATACAGCCCGGAGCGAGTGCATGGCATCGATCTCAACAGGCGCTGGGAAGATCGCCCGCAAGTCCGTTATCGCCGCCAAGTGATCCTTAATTTCGAAGAAACGGGCCACCATAGCGTAGGTTGAGCTCCATCTTGTATCGTTCCTCAGTTTGGGGGGCAACGGGGTCAACAAACGTAGCGCACTTCGATTTTTTACGTTGCGCGCTCGCAGCATGACACAGTGGATACGGTCCGAGAGGTTCTTGTGCTCCTCCATCATACGTTGAACGGCGAGATTGAAGTGGTGGCTCACACAACCAATGAGGGGGACGTTGAGTAGACCCGCTATCCGCTGGTTCACGGAGCAGTTGTCGCCAATGACGAACGTGATCGCATCCAACTTCTTGGAGTAGAGTTCCTATGTCGCTTCAATAAACGCAACGTGTTGTGCAGCCGAGTGGTCACTTTCGTCCAACATGGGTGCAAATGCCAGCATAGGAGTTTTTACAACGTCATCAAGACAGAACGACGCCATGATGCAGCAATCTGAGGTTACCAGTCGTCGAGTACGATACCAAAGAGTTCAGGGAGTTGCTGCTGGATTTTTGCTTCCACAGCAAAACAAACGTCGTTCATTGTCGAGCGTAGCGTTGGCGCTGTGGTTGCTTGGAGGCCGAAGTACTTACGAAAGGTTTCGTCTTCGACCGTGGAGAAGGGAAGGTGATTGGTCACAACAAGATCCATCCATCCGAACAGGGCCTTTGACGTGTCGGAGACGAATGTTGCGACTGGAATCGCCGGCGTCGACGCACGGAGAGCGTCGGAGTGCACCGTGGGGTAGTCCGGATGGCGTGTCATAAGGCGGCTCATCAAGTTGGTGAACCCTTTGCCTTGTTGTTGCGCGACATGCTTGGTGCAGAGGCGACACTCAAATCGCCCAGTATCTTCCAGAAGGCTGAAGAAGAACTTGGCATAGGTAGCGGAGGTAGTTGGTGGAAGCATGTTGAATTGAACAAAATGACTGGTAGTATGAAGCACGATGTGTATGGTCAAGGGGCCATGATGAAATAATTGGTGAGGAATGCCCTACATACGGGAGCCAATCAAACATCATTACCCCCCTAGGGAAATTATATTTGACAAAACAATACCCCATATTAGGGGAATTGTGGCCCATAGGTTTTCCCTACATAACGGAGGGACTATCTCTGAGCGTCGGGCGCCGCCTAAGTTGCTTTTTAGTAGTTCCTACAAGTGTATACATGTGATGGTGCACGGGATTCTACTGTGTATAAATATGGAGGTTATCTTTAACTTGTTCTCACCTCTGGTTGACCTCCACTTCATGTGGGTCATCCTCGCGTCCACCCTCCACGCTCCATTTGAAGTGCCAACAAAAGAGAAGTCAACAGATCTGGCCAATCACAAGTCAACAGATTTGGCCAATCATGGTCGAGGATTCGAATCCCCAAAATGGACCAATTTGAGGGATTCTAGTACTAAGTTCCGGAGATTTCCTCAACCCTATAAAGCTTCAGAGGTTATTTTAAGGATAAGGATAAATACTCATCTCCGAAATCTCCCTATTGTATGGTAAGGAATTCGCTCGATACATTGGTTAATCACTCCGTGACATGCCAAAAATATTTCAACTTCTTCCAGTGCTGTGTTTTTTTCGAATAAAACAACGTGACTTAGGCAAATAGAATGTCTCCTCCCAGAGATCCAATCACTGGTCAAGAGGTCTATTATATTGAGCCCTTTGCGCACGTATTTTCAGATTTTTCTAATTTGAAAATTTGCAGAGATTACATCAATTTTTGTCAAATGTCATGTCCTGAGGTAGTAACAGTTAACTGTAAGCTTAAATGCTGGTGTCCGGATATATTCGGATATCTAGATCTGGCACCCTTTCAGCATCGCTCCACCGAAATTCCGGCACAAAATTATTTTGCGCAATTATTTCGCGAATTTTTTGGAATTCGGTTATTCTTACTTCAAAGTATTTGTTGGCAACGAATTCCTGCATTTCGAGTGAAAAGTATTTGATTTCAAAGGTATTCTCGCATATAAAATGTTGCCCAAAATGAGCAAAACCATAGAATAGTATTGGGCACATAGCCGCATTCATCTGAGGGGACCGGCGCGAGAACGGACCCTTCCGACCAATTGCAGCCATCTTCTACCTGTACGAGACACCATCTACCCACGCGATTGAGCAGCATCCGTCCGTGAGCTTGAAATTTGGCTTGGACTGTCCATCGTTGCCCTAGCATGAGCGATTCAGACACCGACATGGAGACACCTGCCGTCGGTCAGCCACACAATGCACTGCAACATGCTTCCCGCCATAGCAATGGTGCCGTCGATCATACCCACGCTGCATATCATCTGCTTGAGGGACACGGCGGGGGGCGTGTACAACACCATGCACGGCTCGATCACGACAGTCCAACTCGTCGAGGGGGTAATGCCGCTAGAACGGACAACCAAGGGGTTGCTGCATTCTCGTCCCATCCAAGTGGACAAACCAATGCAAGGCGTTCGGTGCCTGGTTTGGACGTCGCGTCAATGAATTCTCCTGCGAGTGTGGTAGCTGTTCCTTCCACTCGCCTTGCGCTTCCTCTGTCGTCGACCAACTCAGGGAACAACAATGTGTTGCTGGCCGCGCTGGGTGGTACTCCCCGCGGCAATAGCCAGCCGCCACCCCCCCTTTCCCGTCAACATACTCACTCGTTCTTTCCTGGATCGGATGCCACCAACCACGACGAAGAAAAGCCGCGGCACCGTGCCGACGTCCTAGAGCCAGACGACGTGCATCCTCCTCCTGGCACGAGCTATACTTCCGCCACAACCACCAGACGAAAGCGCGACCGCGACGGAACGGCATCGTCGAATGGCGGCCCTTGGGGGGACGTCTCGCTCATCTCGTCCGACAACGACGAGGAAAAGGTCCCGATCATCGATCCGTCCGAGCGCGTGGAACACCGCAGCACCAAGTTGGTCCGCCGGGAGATTGTGATCGCGTCGCCGTCGAACGGGATGGACGACGACAACGACATGCCGCCCCACAAGGCCCAGCGTCCGCCGCCGCCGCCGCAGCAGCACCATCTCGGCTTTGACGTGCAGCCGGTGGACATGATTCTGCATGTGTTTTCGTTCTTGGTGTACTCGGACGACGTGTACCAGATGCAGCTTGTGTCCAAGCGATGGCGCCAACTCACAAGCACCCCGAGCCTGTGGCGCGCCTTGCCGGACGTGACGGCGGACGGCGGCATCAATTGGCTCAACTTTCGCAACCTCGGCATCAAGAACAAGGGCACCGAGGGGACGTGCTACCGCTGCTTTCAACGGAGTACGGGGCGGGTGCTAGCGATGAAGCGGGCGCGGGTCTTTCCCAAGGTATACTATTGCCATTCTTTACCCAAAATGTGGTTAACTTTTGAGCGGATTCACGAAGGTCTATCATCTATTACTGACTTTTGTATGGAAAAGAGATCGTTTCCAGTATATGACACGAATTTCAGCCCCCCCACACACGAATTCAGTGTTGAATTGGTCCAAGAGTGAATTTGATTGGCTACTTGATTCGTGTTGTGGGTTTTGATTGGTTGATCTTTGGTTGTCTGCCGATCGATTGGGTTCTTTTGCTCATTCGATTGAGAACCCAAACACTCCAATTTGGAAAATCGACTTGACAATATATATATACTCGTCGTCATCGGCTTCATTGTATGACATATAAGTACATGCGTCTGCTCTACTCTACGACGACGACTCTGTCTCATGGTTTTACGTTTGTATGACGACTGGACATGCCATACTGTATCGCAGCTTAGCTGACGTGTGTGTGTATGTCGAGTAGGGCGAAGGCGTGCCGTACTACATGCTGCGGGAACTAGCGGTGCTCCAAGGCATAAAACATCCCCACATTGCATCGCTCGAGATGATTTCCCTCGCCAAGGACGAACTGCATGTGTTCTTTCCATATGTGGACAAGACCCTGCATGAAGTAATCAACCCCACGAGCGACCCCAGCGGCGGCCGCGTCCTTCCCGAACCTCAAGTGCGCCCTACTCCTCTTGGGTTTTCATTGGTATGTATCATCGTTTTCGCCGTCGTTTTTAGGTGCGGCGGTTCCTCCATCAATTGCTCGATGCGATTGCGCACTGCCACAGGCGCGGCGTGCTGCATCGGAACTTGAAGCCCAAGCACTTGCTCATCGACACCAAGTCATCCGACGAACTAGGTACAACTACGATGACTCGTGTGCTTATTCTTGTATATATATACATGTGACTATAGATCGATAGATAGGTCTATGTAGTAATTTATATCGTCGTCATCTTGTGTCGGCATGTATCGTGTTTTACGTGTCTCGAAGTGTTGAAATCTCCATAATCGTTGACGTTTTGATGTATATATATATATATATGTTTGCCTGCTACAGGTAATATTGTGCTTTTAGCGAAAAAAATGAATAATATTTTTGTGCGGGTTCACCAAATCTATCGGTAGATTGTTTGTACTGGGAATTTTACGTGTACAAGTGGTGTCGCCTTCACACTATTTAAAGTCTCACATGGATTTCGAGTTTCGGGAATTTGATTGGCCACTTGACAGTGTTTTGGGTTTTGATTGGTCAATCGTGAGTCGATGTTTTGGTGCTACTCGCTCATATTCGATTGAGCACCCCCCCTCCAAAGTTACAAATCCACTTGACACTACTACTACTACTACTACTAGTAGCAGTAGTAGTAGGAATATCGGCTCGTTATGGGGAGATCCGTCGTGGCAAAATTGTACAGTTGTTGACCGTTCGTTACCGTGGGCTCTCCCACAGCCATTGTGACGTATATATCCAAATATTTTGATGGTCATTCTATTAATAGTGTGGTTTGTCGTCTAGTAGTACTAGTAGAACTCGTAGTAGTTAGTATTCGGGTTATCAATGAAGTTGTGGATTTTTTGATTTTGGTAGACGACGCCGAGCTGCGCATTTCAGACTTTGCATTGGTGCGCGCGACGGGCATCCCCCGGCGGACGTACACGATGGAGGTGGTGACATTGTGGTATCGGCCGCCCGAGATCCTCATGGGCGTGCGTTCGTACTCGCCGGCCGTGGACATCTGGTCCATCGGGTGCATCTTTGCCGAGATGGCGCAGGGCAAGCCGCTATTCACGGGCATCTCGGAGATCGACCAGCTCTTCCAGATCTTCAGCAAGCTGGCGACGCCCACGGCGGCCACGTGGCCTTCGTTTACGACGCTCCCCAACTACCGCTTTGAGTTCCCCAACTGGACGAGTCGGCCGTGGTCGCGGCTGTTTCCCACGCTGAGCGACTTGGGCCTCGACTTGCTCTCCAAGTTGCTCACGTACGACCCCGACGAGCGCATTTCGGCTGAAAACGCCTTGCGACATCCGTACTTTGCAGGCTTCCAAACGTTCCCGACGCTCGTGCCGTCGATTCCGATGGCCGACATGCGCTTTGCGATGCGGCGGGCGGCGCTGGCCGACGGCGGCGCGTCCAACGTCCAAGTCATTCCAGAGCACATTGACCTGTTCCACGCGTACTTGCGCGAGTCGGAAGTGGCGCAGTGGAGGGATGTTAATTACCTCAGGTACAAGACATTTGTCGGGATTTGGATATATATATATACATTCGTGATTGATGGATGCAAGTACATGTTTGCCTTTGATGTGTGTGTAGCTCTGGTATTGTGTGTGTTGATATTGAATAATCAAAATATTTATGGTATGTGTTTGGTGGTTGAATCGTAAATATATATATATATTTGATAAAGCACCCAATTGATTGAAATATTCCATTTGTATAATTGATTTGAGCGTACATTGAACTATATCTTTACGTTGATATATCATGGTGCCATATACGGTAGTGTTGTGTTTGGTCGTGATGTACCTATATATATATATATATATAATCTTGTGTCTAGTCGAAAGCGCACGCAGTCCCTACGCCCGATCCATCGCTCCATGCTAGTCGACTGGCTCATTGAAGGTACATTGGTCGTCGATATATATATATATATATATACATCCGCCCATCCAGTCGGGAACCATATATTTATAAATTTATAGCACCATAATATCTTGGTCATCAACAATCCAGGTCGTATTTTCCAATCTTGACATATATATATATATATTTTTTTTCTATTGTTAGTCGTGGACGTGTTTGAAATGTGTTTGCGGACGGCGTTCTTGGCCGTGCACTACACGGACCGGTACCTGGACACGGAGATGGTGAAGAAGACCAAGTTCCAACTGCTGGGCGCCACGTGTCTGCATGTTGCTTCCAAGTGCGAAGACGTGTCGTACATTGGCGTGGAAGATCTGTCCATGTGCGCAGACAACGTGTACACGTCTGTGGACGTGCTCAAGATGGAGGAGCATCTGCTCAATACGCTCAACTTTACGCTCTCCGTGCCCACGGGTATATATATATATATTATATATATTATATAGTAATGCTGTGTGTGTAGTGCTGGATTTCGTCAACATTTACCAGAAAATGATGCCGCCGCTGACCCAGAAAACTGCCATGCTGGCGCAGTATTTATCGGAATTGGCACTCCAAGAGTACCGATTTTTGAAATATTTGCCGTCGTGTGTGGCCACGTGCTGCTTGTCGTTGGCGATGTACTGCATAGAAGGGTACCCCATGGTACGACGAATATATATCTATTGATTGGAACTATATATATATATATATATATATATATATTGGATAGTGTGTATATATTATATATATCTAAAGAAGAGTGTGGTTGGTTTATTCGTGTGACGGGGTGATACTGCTATCTTAGACGCCGCAATTACAAGCCGCGTGTGGGTACTCGTACGCCGACATAAAGGAATGTCTCGTCAAGCTCCAAGACGTGTACTCGTCTGCGCACATGAACTTGCTCACAGTCGTCAAGAAGCGGTACACGGACGAAGACCGGTGCCAAGTCGCGCAGTTGCTGCCGCCCATGACGTACAATATGACGTACTAACCCACATGATGATCATCATCATGGTGGTGGTGGTTGCTAAACAACAAGAAGTATGCATGGAGAGAGAGAATGTCATTATAATTGTTTAGTCGGGATATAAAAGGGGATAAGAGATCAGGGGGGATATAACAGGGGATAAGAGATGGTGATCGAGGTTAGTTAACATGATGCCATGGGCTTGCGAGGCGGGCGCACGGGTTGCGTGACGTAGATGACACTTGGGTCGTTTGGGTCGACAAATGCTTTTTGCTGTTGCTTGGCCACAAACGATGCGTCGATGTCGCCTAGTATACACGAGGGGTTAGAAGGGGACAGTGGGGGGGATAGGGGGGGTAGTGGGGAGATAGTGAGGGATACAGTAGCACTAGACCTTTTTTCTTTTGCTCCATGAGTTTGAGAAACACGGTCAAGAAGGTCCCGGTGCCGCCGTTGTTGAACGACACCTTCCAATGGATCGGCGTCACGTCGTCGTAGTTTGTTTGGTCGGTTGCCTGCGACACAGGGGGTTAGATAGTTGTAGGATGGGTAGTTAGCTCGTTGCCATACAGGGTGGTGGTGATGATTCCAAGTATACTGATGTAGTAAGAACAATAATATATGACATCTAGGGACGATATGTATTGTACGGGGAAGACGTCGCCAGAGATGTTGCACGCGCCAAAGATGGGCTGGTTGAATTTATCACGACGGACATTGTCGAGGGGGATTTCCTAGCATGTTGTGGATAATTTAGGTGAATAATAGTAAGGAGACCTCTCAACCACACGACGATAGTTATTAGGTCGTACAAACGCTTCAAAGAACGTGTCGTGCTGGGTCGTGCCCTTGTCGGCGCAAAACACGAGGCGCTGCGTCGTGATGTAGATGCGTCCGTTGGCTTTAAACTTGGATCTATGTACCAGCAGCCACCATTCGTGGGCAGTTAGTTGGAATACTGTCATATACCACGTACAGCGCCCCTCGCGCCTCAACCATGTGAATGAAGAAGGCCTACATACATACCCTGACGCAGTAGTACAGGTAAAGGAAACCCCCGGGCGTTCGAGAATGAACATTTCGTCGTCGTTGGCGAGGGGCATGAGCTTGCCGTCGTCCGAGAAGAGCGAGAGTTTGAACGACATGGTCACGAGCGTTAAGGGTAGATGGATTGGATGCGAGGATGGATGTTGTATCGAGAGCTATAAATACACAGACAACACAACCGAACCGTCGTTTCTGTGCTGCGGATTACGCTAGGCTCTGATGATATTATGGCATCTACGTGGCAAGTTACAGTAGCTCTCCTCCGTCACGGAGCCTTGGATGCTCCGTGAGGTCAAATTTGGCGCGCCAGCCACTTTGACATTGTGTTCGCCCCCGCGAACTTCAAACCTGTATAAATGCATAAACCTGCACAATATAGTAGTAGTATTGGCATTTTTTTGTGTTGCAACACGAAATGATGTTGATGCTCCGCCTGCCACTCCGCTTGACGCGGCAATGCGTCCGCTACAAGAAGACCAAGTCCGCACGGGCAGAGGTTCCAGGTAGACAAGAAGATTATGATGATGATGCATGCTATGCATGATGTACGTTGTCGCAGGAAACAAAGGCCAGGCGTTGCAAATGGCCATTCGGCAGATCGAAAGCAACTTTGGCAAAGGCGCGCTCATGCAATTGGGAGCGTCTGGCGTGGCCCAGGACATTGAAGTCATTTCGACAGGATCGCTGTCTCTCGACATTGCACTTGGCATTGGGGGACTTCCAAAGGGGTACGTACGTACGAATGCACTAGTAGTAAGTACCCATCATCCCACCAAGGCGGGTCGTGGAAATCTACGGCCCCGAGAGCTCTGGCAAGACTACCCTCGCCTTGCATTGCATTGCCGAAGCCCAGAAAAAAGTACCATATTTGGCCTCCTTCAGTCCACATACAGTAGTATATGATGGGCTCTCGTTCTCATGACGGCGAGTAGGGAGGCACGTGCGCATTCGTCGACGCCGAGCATGCCATCGATGGTCACTACGCCAAGGCGTTGGGTTCGTCATTAAATGAGCGTTGCTATCCGTGCTGGAGTGACATATGTCACTGTTTAGGAGTGAACATTGACGAACTGTACGTGTCGCAGCCAGATTCGGGCGAGCAGGCGCTCGAGATTGCCGACACGCTGATCCGATCGGGGGCGGTGGATGTGGTCGTTGTGGACTCTGTGGCGGCGCTCGTACCCCGCGCAGAACTGGAGGGCGAGATGGGCGACCAGCAGATCGCCCTGCAGGCTCGCCTCATGAGCCAGGTCCAGCCAACCTAGCAATCTTCACGTCTTTACGAGGCGCGTCTTGGCTGCTTAGGCCTTGCGCAAGTTGACGGGGTCGCTCTCCAAGTCCAACTGCATGCTCATTTTCCTCAACCAAATCCGGCAAAAGGTAGAAAACCCTACCGCGAGCACTTTGTCATACTAAACCAACCGTCGATTGATTGGGTGACAGGTGGGGGTGTTGTTTGGGTCGCCAGAAGTCACGTCGGGCGGCACGGCGTTGCGGTATTATGCATCGGGTACGTGTCTGGCTTGAGGAGGTGCTGCCACGTCATAAGCTGAATGTGAGTATAGTGCGACTGGACATTCGCCGCAAAACGCAAATCAAAGACGGAGACAACGTAAGGCCTATCAAGTGACGTGATCATGCGATTACGTATACCAATCAAATGACGTGATCATTATTGATTAGGTAATCGGCAACGAGACGGTGGTCAAAGTCGCCAAGAACAAGCTCGCGCCTCCGTTCAAAGTCGCCACCTTTGACATGCTGTACGGCAAAGGCGTCGACCGCGTGTCCGAAGTGGTAATTGTGTGGACAGATTATTCTATATATTATATATATATATTCTTGGACTGATAATTCTATATTTATATTCTATATGCATGGTTCTTGGAGAGATTATTCCATATTTTTATATAAATATTCCTGGAGAATTGTTCCATGTTTTGTATACATTCTTGGAGAAATTATTCAATATTTTATGTAAACATTCTTGGAGAGATCGTTCACTATAATATTGTGCATTCGCCATAATCTTCCAAATTTCGCATGGTTTTCTATTCAATATATTGAATCGCATTGGAAATTCGGATTGGCTGAATATTCTTGTCCTTTCTGTAAGAGCCAATCAGATCCCCTCAATATTGGATCAGCCAATAGTGTCGATTCGGTGGTGAGATTCAATTCGACGGGGTCTGGACGTTTGTACTGCATCCCCACAACATATACACATATATATAATCTTGGAGACAGGTTTCCATACTTTATATATATATATATATTCTTGGAATGACGCATGTGCATGTACTAGTTGGACCTGGGTACTGACATTGGAGCACTTAAACGATCAGGATCGTGGTATGCGTACAAAGACGGTAGATCAACCATCTATATATTCAACGGACTGAACCGCTGTTGCTTGACGTAGAACCCATTGGCCAAGGCCGAGTCAAGGTATATATATATACAAGGGGAAGGTTCTATATATATATATATATATATATCCTTCCCCTTGATATCAATATTGGACATGTATCTGTTGGTGCTACTCCATGAGCTAGCATGTAGTTGACGTTCATGATGATATTGGGAATAAATAGGCCAAGCAGTTTTTGGTGGACCATCCCGAGATTGCAAGTGGCATCGAAGCCGACATTCGTCAAACCCTGCTCGCTCGATCCCCCACGAACATCGACGACGAAGTGCCGTCGGAAACCTCGGAAGAGGTAGACACTCCACCAGATGCTGCTTCGTTGGTGGAAGGTCCGCCTTTGGTCGAAGACGCCGAGCCCCGTGTGGACGACGCCCCTGCGACAGTGTCACCACACTCGTAATAACTAGCACTACAAACGAAGACAGTCTATACTTTCACAGTATTAATTCTGTTCATCTTGGATGCCTTGCTCTGTGATGGAGTACATGGCTTCGGCTTCGGGGAGGATGGGCGAGTCGACCACTTTCATGACGCGATTTTCTCCGCGAGCTTTCTTGAGCCGCAGTCTAACGATTTATGATCCCATGAGTTATGATAAAAATAACTTCACACTAAGCAAATATCCACATAAGAAACATCTACAGATATGCCATCACGAGAACGAATGTCCCTTGACAACAATTCTTTGTACCTTGTGCACGAAGCATGCGCCATGATGTTGCCGCCGATGGGCTGCAGCGGGTCCTTGGCAAACATGCCTGAATCTGGGTTGGCAGTCATCTACTTGGGTTGTTAGTATAGGGAGATGTGTTGGATAGCATTCATATATGCGTTGCCAAATATAAACATAACGTTTTGTAACGGTGTCACATGAGCGATTCGTGTGTGGTTATTGTATTCATACCTGGTTGGTGATGACGACAGCGACGCCGAATTCGTCGGCCATGCGGGTCAATGCTCGCAGGAACCTAGAACACTGTTAATTCAATATATAATCATAATTCTATCGAATTTCAATATATTATTTCTAATAATATTTGTTTCGAATGTCATTATTATCCAAGCAAAACTATACCAAACACATTATTAGTCCTACTAACACATTGTTCAACCGGACCGTAATAATAATATAAATATAAAATGTGCTTCTTTCATTAGTCGGAATATCGTATCCAACAGAGAGAGACCAGCAAAGAAGTATAATGGAATATGCTCAACGTACTTGGCCAATTCTTGCTGCCGCGCTGCCAATTCGCCGCGCCCCGAGTAATCTGTCCGGAACAAAGCGGTGGCGCTGTCCACGACCACCAGCGCATACCGCGACTCGGCCATCATCGCAGACGCCTGCGATAGCAGCTGCATCTGATGCTCCGAGTTGTACGCGCGCGCAAATGCGACGTTGTCCAGGACGCTGTCGCCTACAGACAGAGTTGACATGGGGTTGTGGACGTATGGGTAGAAGGCGATGTACCGTCCAAGCCGTATCGCTCGGCAATCGCGACTAGTCGTTGGGGGCGAAACGTCCCTTCTGTGTCAATGAACAGCGCCTTTCCTTCTCCGCCACCCTTGTCCACGGGCAGTTGGCACGTGACGCATAGCTGATGGCAGAGTTGTGTTTTTCCGGTGCGGAATTCACCAAACAACTCGGTGATCGATCCAGTTTCAAACCCCCCTACATCACGTGTCGACATGAAGCGTACAAGCGTGCGTACATACCTCGGAGCAGTTCGTCCAACGCAGACGACCCCGTCGTCAATGTGATCAAGTCCTTACGGCTCTGCATGACGTCAGCAGCCTAATGTCGATAATATACCGAATGACCTTTCTGACGACCCCCCTCCATCGAGTACGTACCGTTGTAAAGCCCACGTTCACCATCTCGCGGGATGCTTTGAGCATTTTGTCGGCTTTTGCTTCGGTGATACCTTTGATCCCTATGAGCTGTCTCTTGGTGGCCATGGCAATGGCGTCCACAGTGTGGAACCCCGCTTCCTTGAGCTTGTTGATGTCAGATGCGTTCACGCCTGATTGCTCCAGCGCACTGATGCCACACGGGCCCTGCAAATGCGCACCGTCACCACCATCATATTCGTCTGCGGCTTCTGGCTGTTCGTACTCGGCCGCTCGGCTTCCCATCATGGCGCTCATCTTGAAGGAACGTGGGCGAATTCAAATTGCATCGTTTTGTTCGGGACGATAATTTAAATAATGTTGACCCACTATTTAATGCTAAATTGACACGATTCATACAAACATCTAGATAATGTTTTGTATTAAACCAAATTAAATACTTTTCGCGGGACTGTCTTGGAAAAGTTGTCTCCCGCCAATACACTCTACCACATTTGAATAATTTAAAACGTTTAAAACATGACGAACACCTTTTTAAAATACTCTCTTGTTTTAATGCAGTTGTTAGACTCGTAGTCGTCCATTCACGGTAATGCAAACAGCCAGTACGAGACAAAGCGATGGCTTCAGGCTACTGGTACAAATGCAGCGGTTATTTCACCAGTATCGGAAAGGTCTTCTTGGACGTTCCAACGTTCATGTCATTTTAATTGTCTGGAACACGGTTTTAAAATTACATGGGGATGTTTTAAAATGTAATTTTAAAACTAAAAACCAAAATGTTAAAGACATAATTCCACCACGAGGAAACAACATGGAGGAGGAGCTCGAGCAGAAGATGACGTTTGTCTTGGCCGACATCGACGCCCAATTCAGCAAGGCCCATGAAGCAGCCACGAAACTCCTTCGTAGAGTTCGCAGACATAGCCAAACCACCCGCCAAATGCACGCGCATTGCCGCTTGTTCCATGACCTGTTTGTTCAACTGCAAGACCAAGCGGCGGCGACACCGTCGTCCAGTCATGCGTCGCCAGCGCATCACCACGACCGACCAGGAAATAGGATGAACATGAGCACATACACGGACATTCAGGACGACATGGAGGCCGCGGAGCATTACGACTCGTTCCTCGACGCCGACGACGAGTTTGTCGACGCCACCGTACAGCTCAAGACTACGACGCTTGTCCAGCCTCGAGGTAGCGTCCCTGCTGCCACGACGGCAAGCTCCACGTCGCTTAACGAGAGCAGCATCAACATTTCCATGGACATAACAGGCAGTCCCATGCCCCCGCGACACCATCTTTCTCGACCGCCCGTCCACGTTCACACCCCTGCAGCTGCGTCTTCCTCGCAGCAAGAAGCATCTTCGCATCCCACTCCCGCGTCACCGTCCAATAGCAGCACTGCCTCATACGTCCATCTCCCACTTCTCCCCACTCCGGAAATGCCGTCGCTGTCGCACAGGGTTCAGCTCCTCCAAGCTCCTCCACCTTCCACATCCCATGCTGGTGGTCTTGACGAAAGCGATTCATTCCTTGGCGTGCCCAGTGATATTGCGACGCCAGACATGCACGTGTTGAGTCGTCCTTGCCTTTCCCCCGAGGCTTCGTCTCCAGGCTTTCCGACATCGCCATCCCCATCTCACCCAGCGCCGCCCTTCGCTTCTTCTTCTTCTCCATTGAACACGAGTGTCATCGCTACCTCGAGTCCGCATGCCCACCACGCCGTCCAGACCCCTCCATGGCACGCCACGCCCGGCGCGCCATCGTCCGACTTTCGGCGGCGGTTCAGTGCCGCCTCCGAGTACCGCACTCCCCTGAAATCCAAACCGCCGTTTGCTGCCGACGACGACGACGAAGACATGGACCATGACATGGCGTACCCCAACATCGACTCGCCGGTGCTGGCGTCGCCCCTGCTCAGCACCAAGCTCAAGGTGCTGACGCCGCACACGCCGCTGTCGAACCGTATCGCAGGCGCGTCCACGCAGACGCCATACCGAAGTCCATATGCGTCCACGATGTTGTCGTCGCCGTCGACGCCGAAAATTCCCATATTTGACCTCGCGCTCTTCCCCGTGGCGTTTCAGGTGGGTTTATTCCTGGGGAATTGTCCCTGTTGTGTGAAAGATTGACTGATTGATGGATGGATTATGCCTTGTAGAAAGGCGAAGGGGCGTATCAAATGACTCGGTTGTACAGCTACTTTCGCAACAACCCAACGCAAGCCATGGTATGTATACTGTACAAACCACAAGTGATGACTGTATATTTGTATGTAGACGTTGGCTGGCCTAGTCGATAAACTAGACGATTGCGAGTCGGAGCGACTAGAAATTCTGCTGGATACGCTCGTGTCCCGCCGCCTCTTGCGGCCGTTTGTAGTCGAAGGGGAGATGTACTGGCAGTCGTCGTTCAAATAACGCACACAACAATACCTCTTAGTGTCGATACGGACGTCGAAATGTACTGTAGGATGAAGTACGTACTCCATTATGACCTAGAGTATCCACGGTGGTACTCAAATATAGAAGTACTACTATTATAGGTACATACAGGGCCATCGGCTGTTCCTAGCCATCCATTTCAGTATTGTACCGACTTTATTTTGTGCTGCCACGTTGACAACATGAAACGCCTCGTGGGAATCCCGTTCAGTACTTTTCAATAAAACGTGGACGCCATCCAACTAAAACGTACTACTAGTAGTAGTACTAGTAGTACTTTATAGACGTTTTATGGACACACATATTACATACCGGTAGGGATAAATCCCTACCCAAGATCGCGACCAAGGTCGTCAACTATCAAAACTCAAAAGTGCAGCGGCATCCATGACAGAGGCCGATTGCCACGCATTGCCAAGAGTGTCCACGATGCCAGAGAGCAGCGGTAACGACCCATCACGTGATGAAGACCCGGCGGCGACTCATATGGTGGCGTCGGCTTCCACTGCATCCATCATATCCATCACGTCGGAGATGTCGGTGGCGGAAAAGGACCGCCTGCCGCTCGCAAGTCATTTGGCCAAGGCGGCGCAGACGGGCGCGTCCAACTTTGTGTTGGCGTACAACGTCCGAGCTGGCATTGCGCTTCTGTCCCGCATCGTGCAGCTGATTCAGAATCGGTATCCTCCACGTCCATCACGCGTGCATGCGTTGTTGCTCCTCTCTCTGATGATGATGGTCTCGGTAGAAAGTTCCGCGATATCGTGAACCTCAACTCGCTCTTGTCTGAAAAACACTTGAACTTCCGCGTCGAAGCCGTGTCGATGGGGCTCTTCATCGGGTGCTTCACCGGCGGGTACGAAGCGCTCCAGGCGGTTCTGCGCAAGCTGCGGCCTGACCTCCCAGCTGCCACCCGCACAGTCGTGTCTGGCATCGTCGCTGGATCGGGCATCCTCTGTCTCAACCCTAGCCGGTACTACTTCCCATCCCAATGACCATGACGATGCCGACTGTGGGTCTCATCAGGCGGCGGTCCCTCGCGCTGTACACGTTTGTGCGCGCGCTGCAGTCCGTGTACAACATCGCCAAGGCGCGAAAGCTGTGGCACTTTTGGGGCAGCCATTGGCCTCACGGCGACGCGCTCTTGTTTGGGGTCGCCAGCGCCCAGGTTTTTGCGTGTTGTTTCTCTCGTGCTGCTGCCACGTCATACACTCTAAGACTGTATATAGGTCATGTACAGCTTCATTCTACGCCCCGAGATCCTTCCGAAAGAGTACTTTTCTTTCATCCATCGAGCGGGGCCTGTGGCTATGAGGGTGCTTCAGTTCACCCAGCGCACATTGCGTGGTGCGGCCGTCGAGCCCGCCGACGTGATCCGATTTTTAGACGACAAGGCGTCGCCTGTGGTGTACAACATCGCGCACAACCACCCAGAGGTACGTACTACCTAAGTGAATGTAGGGTTTCCGGACTTTTTTCTTGTAATTGGGCTTTTTATTTTGATCATCATAAAAATAACAGCATGTTGTCCAGTATCTCTAAAATATTCACCTAAAGAACAACCTTAAAAAAAAAATCTCTTTAATTTTTAAATGTCAAACATTTAAGTTTGTATGAAGTTTGGTGTCTATAAAATTAATCCCGCAATTAAAAGAAATAAGGCATGAAAAAAGTACTTCAAAATAAAAAGTCAAGAATTTAAGACTTTTTATTAAATTTAAAAATAAATAAATAAAATTATATTGTACTTATTGAATGAATGGCTGGTAGAGCTTGCCGTGCTCGCTCATCCACCACGGGTCGGCGTCGTGCACTTTGGGATTTGGGATGACGTTTTGGAATGCCGCGCGCCGGACGTTTCCCTTGTACTTGTCGCTCAACATTGTACCGAGGGTGGTGCTCGATTTGCACCGTTTCGTCAAGGCGTACGTAGCGATTACATGTATATATGGACACGGGTGGTATAAATAATATCGCGGTAGACCCGTGACGACAGTGTTGAAAGGGACGTGGGGCGGCGTGCGGTCCACTGCCTTCCTCGGCACGTTCGTCGCATTGTATCAAGCTACCGTGTGCGTCCAAAGGCTGATGTTTCGTTCGGATTCCAAAGCTACGTACTTTGTCGCAGGTACTTGAGAATCAAGTACACCAAGACACATGACTGTGGGGTAGGACTGATAGCGTCGGGTTCGATTCTGCTTGAAGCCAAACATCGTCGATCAGGTACAGCGATGTGTGTGATTTTCAGCGTATTCATTGTATTCTAATATACTACTAGTATACATTTAACGATGTACGGCCAAACAATATGGTGATTGTTGATTGGTTAAAATACCTCAAAAGTGTAATTTCATTGGCTGGGTCATATAAAATAATTCATTCGAATCAAACCTAGTTACTGGAAAGTGTATGAACGGGACAATATATCAAGTAGAAATCGTTGGGTATGTAGAACTGGCGCTGTACGTGCTTCCGCGAGCGTTGGACTTGCTCTACATCACGCTGCGAGACAAGCGCGTATTGGCTGAGATGGCGTACGGTGAAGTCATGTTGTTTGCATGTTCGATGGGGACGCTTATGTTTTGCTTTGAGGTACACCAAGACTTGGATGATGATTGATTGATATGTTGATAGCATGAGAAGCAGCACTTGAGTCCGTTCGTGGAGCGGTTGCTCAACCGATTCCTGCACTCTACAGTCAAGTCGTCGTCCACATGTATTAGTAAGAGTTAGAGACCCGGCTCGCAGCTGACATAACCACGGGATGGGAAGAACTTGGTTTTACCAATCAGTCATTTCGAGAGGCAATTGTATAGGGTGCGTCTGGTAACATTTCAAAAATAGTAGACCATTTTCTCGCAAAATGGAATAAACGAAAAATGTCGCTTTCAAAATAGAGGTAAAAGGTCCATTTTGTACTACTACGTAGTATAGTGTTTTGGACCTCTTCAACGAGTAAATCCCACGTGTAATTATAGGATTTGGGTTAACAATGTAAAACTCTAGACATGTTTCAATTTGAATCAGATTTGTTGAATTCGGCCCAAAAATGGCGTTTTGGGCCTGAATATTGCAATATTTCCGGTTACCAGACGTACCCTTACTGTATTTAATTATCTCAATTATGTTTTCCCATTTTTCCATGCTCATAAATCTCTCCAAACCTAGTTTTTTCGTTTTCAACCAAGCCCAAGTTCAGATGCTGCATTCCCACATCCCGTTCCGTGCTTTATACGCGATTCCTCGGGTATAGCGGGATAGCAGCCGTACAGTACATGTAATATGGACTCGTCCTACAAAATGGACCATTTACCTCCTTTTTGAAAATGGTATTTTTCGTTTATCCCATTTTGCCATAGAATTGAATATTATTTTTGAAATGTTACCAAACGCACCCTAAATTATTGATTCAAGACACTGGCAATTGCAATTTGTTGTAACGCGAGATCCAATCAAATACTTACAAGTAAGTTTATTGAATTGATCAATGTCCATCAACATACTTAATCTAACGTTAACCTTTTGTATCCAAGTACAAATATAATAATTTCAATAGCGTTAATAGACAATTAAATTGCAATGGCAATAAACGATTAAGGGTGTGCGTCTGGTAACCGGAAATATTGCAATATTCAGGCCCAAAGCGCCATTTTAGGGCCGAATTCAACAAAATCTTATCAAAATGGAAAGATGTCATGTTTGCAGACGTTTAACCCAAATCCAACAATTCCACGTGGGATTTACTCGTTGAAGAGGTCCAAAACGCCACATTACAAAATGGACCTTTTACCTCCATTTTGAAAATGACATTTTGGTTAATCCCATTTTGCGAGAAAATCGGAATATTATTTTTGAAATGTTACCAGACGTACCCTACCCAATATTGTGCTTTTCAGTCAAATTTGCCTATTTTGGGGGATTGATGAATAATCGCCAACTAATCTAGCAAAGGAGTATGGTTGTCTACAAAGTATGAAGGCTAGCAAAGGAGTATGGTTGTCTACAAAGTATAAAGGTTGCAATTTGATTGGCTAAAGAGATTGATTTCTGCCTTGCAGTCACAAAGATCCCTCTACAACTTAGTTTTCTATGAAAATTCTGATTCGGCTTCATGGATTGGCTATAATTAAAATTAACACATCGTGGTATTGGATGGTAAGCAAGGTTCATGAATTCATCAAGCGCAGGAACTTCTCCATCGATCGACACACATCGTGTCAATATTTCATGCATTTTTTGCCCAAAATTGGAGTAAATCAGTTCAAATTGAAGATAAGATCATACGACTACCGTAAGTTTCGAAACTGCCAAATTCGCAATATTTCATATTTATATGACAGTTTGTATGACCCTGGAATCATCCCAATAGTTAGTATAATACTAGTATACTTCAAGTAGTAAGCAAAGTGATCACGTACTTAATCGAGTACATATTCCTTATAGACTGTTAATCGATTAAATCGCATCTTGTAAAGTACGATTAGTCGAGAAATAAATGAATGCCTGAAATCCATTGGCACAAGCCAATCCTGAATGGTCATCACATCGCAAGCCCAAGACGCGCCGGTGTCGTTGTCCGGCCTGTTCGCCGCTAGCAGCGACTCGGAAGCTGATGAGTTCGAGAACGAGTTTGAGATCCAGAACATCTCGATCGGAGACGACAAGTATCGCATCCGAGTCTTCTCCTTCCACGAGGCGAACGCGAACAAAGTGTGGCCGGGGATGTTCAGTCTCGCCGACTTCATGGACTCCCATGTCCGGTATAGTACCGGTCGCATTATGGAGCTCGGTGCCGCTACAGGTGCGTTGGCCATCCATCTGCGGTCGTCGCCCCGCAACTACGACGTCATGACAAGGTAAGCCCAATGTGCGTCGATCAAAGAAGTCACATGAAGCGTCTCCCCCCTAGCGATATTTGCGACGACGGCGCTGTCGCGGCCAACATCGAGTTCAACTCGATCCTGAACGGTACTGCTGCATGATGTTTCCTGGATGTCTCAAAGCCTGCGGCAGGACAAGCGATCGGGTGTCATTATGCGCACACGTGGGGTACTGGATGGGCCCATCCAGGCCAAATCCGATTCGTGATTGCGTCCGACATCCTGTTGTATGTGAGGTAGAACACCCCATTTACAATGTCCCCATCCTTGGACAGTCGCAATGCGACTCACGAGTAGCGCCTATGGAGCGCTCGTGGAAACGCTGCTCGAGATCTTCGCGGTGAACCAAGCCGAAGAATTCCTGATGAGCTGGCGCCGCCGCATCGCCGACTCGTCCATCTTCTTCGACCTCATGAAAGCGGCTGGCTTCCGCGTCCATCACCACGGATCTTGCATTTACTCGTTCTTCAAGCCCGACTCCACGAGTCCGTACCTGCAGTCGCTGCTTCTGTTGCCTCCTCATTCATTGAACAAGCAAAAGTAATTAAAGTAATATTGCTGAAACACAAATTATTTGATTGGCCGGGTCCATGTAAATATAAAATAAATCAGCCAATCATAGGACAAGAATTCTTATTGTCAATCAGACTTCAACACCAAGCCAATGATCGGAACCCAATTTATTTGATTGGCCAGATCCATGTAAATAAAGAATTTATCAGCCAATCATGTAATTAGAATTAGAATGTCGATCAGGAAATTGCGACTTCAACACCAAACCAACGATCGGGAGATGCCAGGGTCGTCGACACCGCCAGTACCTCCAGAGTATGACGAAGGGAGAGCAAAGGTGACGGTAGCTTCCAACGTCTTCTTTAGTCAGCACCAGGTTCGACCTCCTTCCATGCATGCTTTGCTCTCATCTGCACGCTGTACAGGAGCTCCAGCGCGACATGACGGTGCTCCTGCTGCAACATCTCCAAGCTAAAGCAGCATCCCCATCAACACATCTCCGTATCCTTGACGCGTTGTCGGGTTGTGGAATCCGCGCCATTCGGTTCGTCATCATCACATGCGTCGCCTTACGCGTTCTCGACTAGGTATGCCTTGGAAGTCCCGCGAGTGGTGTATGTGGTAGCCAACGACGTCGACGCTGATGCTGTCGCATCCATCGAAGCCAACGTTCTCCATAACCACGTCATACATGTCGTCCAGACATCTCATATGGATGCCGTCGATTGCATGTGGAAGGCGGCAAGGACTACCAAGTTTGACGTGATCGACCTGGATCCGTTCGGAGCGTGTGCGTCCTTGCTAGCCAGCGCCATCGCCACTGTCTCCAGCGGCGGCCTCATTTGCGCCACGGACACCGACATGCATACGCTTCTTGGCAAGACATCTCATGCGCATGCCACGTGTCACGCCCAGTACGGCGCCGTGCCGGTCACCGCCGCGTACGGCAAAGAACTAGCGATTCGCATCATCTTGGGCGCGGCAGCTTCGTTGGCTGCGGCGCACCATCGAGTCATCGAGCCAGTGCTGTGCACTGCTGTGGAATTCTACGTCCGATTGCATTTTCGAGTGCACAACGTGCCACCTAACGCTCCAGAACCAGCATCGTTGGCCATCGTCCATCAATGCATTCGGTGTGCGTACTTTCGACTGCGCCCCCTTGGGCATACAAACTCTAACGACGGTAGCTGCGACAACGACAATGGGGACTCTGTCGCATGTCCTGTCTGTGGTAGTTCGCTGCAGGTATGTACAGTATATTTATATACCCATGTACAGTATCGCCATGCGCGGTAGATTGGCGGGCCATTATGGACAGGCCCGCTTCAAGACAAGGATGCGATTGCTTCCATCATAACAACGGAGACATGTGCTTCCACAGCTCAGCCATCGCCTGCGACAAGGTGACGACCGTAGCCTGCATATGGATGTCACTGATGTGGACTGATTGAATGGGTGGACGGTAGCCTCCTGCGATCAATACATCGAGAATTGATGGACAGTACAGACGACGACTTGGTGTTGTTCATCTCGATGCCAAAGCTCTTTCGACCGTTCAAAGCCATATTGAAAGCCACGCCTTCGAAGCAAACGTTTCAAACGGCGTTGGAGACACTTGGGTACGCGACCACAACGACCCACTTGGACCCCATGGTTCGTCCGATGATATCGTCGTAATTGGGTCTGTTCTGTATGTACCTATTATGTCGTCCTCGTTAGGGCATCAAGACCAATGCAAACATGATGGTAGTGTACAGTGTCGTGGTCACCTGGCTTCACGCCCACGGCTGTGCCAACACTGCTCCCATTCTGCCCAGTATCAGACCTATTCCGATGGTATTTCCCACGTCAACTTTTCAGCGTAAGTGCACTAGTTCAGTGATTGGAATGCATTTTGTTCTGTCTGTACAGTGTCTCAGAAACACGAATGATCATCATGTTGAGCTAGAACCCAATGTTCACTTTGCCCCACCGGTCAAGTGCACAGTCGACCACACGTGGCAGCGTCCTGACGCTCGTTCCACGGGAAGCAACGATGTGATAGGTCAAACTTTTCACGTGAGTGCCGTCGATGCACTCACGGCAACCCTGGCCCTAGCCCGCCCACATGATTGCGTAATCCTTCACGGACACCGCTACGTCTTGACGTCGCCGCTGCTCATCCCATCGCACGTCACGTTGCAAGGACGAATGTCGTCGGGTGACGATTCGCGTCCAGGTTTGTGGTGTGTCATCGTGGACATACCCGGGGTTTTGTTTGATAACGTCACGTAGAAACCACATTGGTCGGCCAAGTGGTGGTGCGCGCCGCGTCGCATGTGACCCTTCGGCACTTGCATGTCCAGTACCCCGCCGCCCCATCTCACATCGTCACCCCTACCACCACCGACGCTCAACCCCTCTCCAAGCGCCCAGCTCGTGTCCACCCAGTTCTGATTACGTCATCCTCCCATGTTCAACTTGATCGATGCCGCGTCTCATGCGCGCGACGCGCGGCCGTGCTGGCGTGCGTGGGCATCGTCGACGGATCGGCGTCCATCACGCTCATGAGAAGCACCATCCATGCAGGCCCGCAAGCCGGGGTGTGTGTCGCAGGTAGGAGTACCAACCAATCTGACTGTTTGGGCGTGAAAAATGACGTAATCAAGGTGGACGTGGATGACGCAATCAACCACGTGATATTGTCCTTTTACCGAATATTTCGACTTTTGTGCTGATTCTTTGCCAAATCTATCGATCGATAATGTTTGACTTTTGTAAAGATCGTCCAGTTTCACACGAATTTCAATCACACACTAATTCGATGTTGAATTGGTCGAAGAGTTGACTTGATTGGCTACTTGATTATTGATCTGGGCTTTGATTGGTCGTATATCGATTGTCTGCCGATTCAGTGCTGCTCATTCGATTTACTTGACAATACGTGGATTGGATTCCAACACGTAAACTTTGTAGGCAAATCCAACGTGGTTGTCCGAGGTTGCACTATCCATGACGTGGCAGGCTGTGGCGTAGACGTGCAAAGTGGCAGTTCATGCCACGTTGTGGGCACGCGCGTGGCAGATTGTGGCAAGAGCGGGCTGTTTGTCCACTCGTTTGGCAGTGTTAGGGTGGAACAGTGTCACATGGATCGCAACGGCATGGCGGGGGTCGAAGGTCAGCACCACCACAACGACTCGAATCCCCGCTATTCCTTTATATTTCTACTTCGTCGTAGTAACCACCCATGGAACCGCGTGGCTTGTTCGAAATGTGCTCAGCCGCGGAAAGAAGGGCGGAATGCTCGTGCACTCGGGCGGGCGCGTGGACTTGGCCGACGCGAACGTCGTGACTCGAAATGCGCTGGCTGGCGTAGATGTGCGGGGCGTGGGCAGTATGGCCGTGGTACCTGTCTCACACAAAGGGGGTAGACTGTGACAAAAGATGGTATTACATAGTTGAGACGGAATCACGTGTGCAATGGGCGGGCGAGTGGGGTGTTCGTGTCCGACGACGGACATGTCGAGTTGCATCGTAATGTGCTCGTGGGCCACAAGCGAGCGGGAATTGAAACGAATGGCGACGGCGACGCGGTTGTCTATACCCGCCAAGGACATGCCGAAGCGAAGAACGAGATAAGCGGCAACGGCATACCCGTGCTAGGCGCGACAAGGGATGTCATGCAAGCAGGGATGCCGATGGAAGGCATGGATGATTGATTGCCTGTAATGGAAAGGAAAGCGGTACAACGAATTGCAACCAACAACATCAAATCAAAGCTCCAAGTACCAAATAGGGCGAACAGGGATATATGCTGTATGTGCGGAGGCTTGCAAACCATACACATCGAATAAGCTTAGAACGTGGCCTCACTCTGCGTTGCGAATACTCGAGTATGTGATAGCGTTCAGTGCGCTACATATGGCCGATATCCATCCAGTGTAACCTGTTAAAGATGGGATGTGTTCTTCATGCCTTCAGCAATCTGTGACATGGAGTCCCAAGAACATTGCGTTTTCAACGACCTCGTGTTGGCTGGACTCAATGCAGCCCCTAGTTTGGGAAGGTCATCCTGTGGTGGACCAACTGCCGGTGAAACAAGGCGATCGCACGCGCAACTTGTTCTCTGATGCTTAGGCGACAAGCAACCTCCCCTGCCACAAAGGCCATTGCCGGCATGTCGTCCCGCGCAGCGCTGCTCAGGTTTCTTTCAAAAGTGGAGAGCATCTTGGATGTTGTACAGTACTGTATTACTAGTATTATGATTGTGTTATTCGAAACCCCGAAACCAAATAACCAAATGTAAGCAGAAGGATTTAGCCAATCCGATTGCCGGAAACCATCATCAACGTCGATTAGTGTATGACTTCAATTAGTGTAATATAAATTACCACAGGACATCGATAGATTTGGCGATAATCAGCACAAAAGTGCAAATTTGGGGTAAAAGAGGGCAATATTGCAGTGTGTTTTGATTGGCTAAAATTCTAGAGTGTGGTCGGTGGGGAATGGCTGGATTTGTGAACTTTTTGTATTCGAACGAAAGGAAGGATGCAGTCGCAGCCGATGCACTCCCAGCAAGACAATGACCCGGACGCGTTCTCGTATGCGTTCGTGGAACAGGATGAAGAAGACGACTACCTGAAGGGAGGTGATGGGAATGTCGACATGGACCACATCCACATGCAACAGATGCAGCTGCAGATGGATCAGTTGAGCAGCACGCTCATGGGCAACTTGGACCTCGAGGACGACTTTGAAGGCGGACACGGCATGGACAACGTTCCCGTGCAACTTCCCTCGCATGCGTGTGCGTACTGTGGCCTGCACGACCCCGCTAGCGTCGTCAAATGTGTGTCGACGGACAAGTGGTTTTGCAACTCGCGCGGCAACACGAGCGGGAGTCACATCGTGCAGCATTTGGTGCGTTCGAAGAACAAGGAAGTAAGCTTGCACCCGGACTCCCCTCTTGGGGAAACCATCCTCGAGTGCTACAACTGCGGCTGCCGCAATGCGTTCCTCTTGGGCTTTATCCCTGCGAAACAAGACTCCGTCGTCGTGTTGCTGTGTCGTGACCCGTGTCTGCAAATGAACGCGCTCAAAGACATGAGTTGGGACATGACCCAGTGGTTGCCTCTCATCGACGACCGCAGCTTCCTCCCATGGCTCGTCAAGGTGCCCACGGAACACGAACAGTTGCGCACGCGGCAGATCACGTCGTCCCAGATCGCCAAGCTCGAAGAAGGTACGACTGCTTATTTCCCACGTCTCCTATCTATGATGGGGATTTTTCCTTGTCGACACCCTCCCGTATGGACTGTCGTGGGGAATACTCCCCTTTTGAACCCCCCTACATTTGCCATTCGGGTTCTGACGAATTCCACTGCATCATTCAACTTATGAACTTGCTCTCAATAGTATACAAATAATTTTTTATATATCTTATTTCTTTGGTTCTATATAGTATATATATTTGGCTGCATGTTTTACCCTTTCTCTATTTTTTATTCTGGCGTGATATTTCTATTTTCAACTTATGAACGTGGGTCAATGGTATACACATAGTTTTTTATATATTTTATTTTTTGGTTCTATATAGTATATATTTTTTGCTTATTTTTTATTCTGGTGTGATGTTTCTATTTGCCGAATACATACACACCACTCAAAACTCGCATGAATATTGTGCTGATTCACCCCAAATCCATCGGTCGAGTTTTGTAGTACATAATTCTATATATAACATTTGTAAAGCCCTTCACTTTCTATTGAAAGTCCCATATATGAATTCGATGGTTGCCAAAGTGGTATTTTAATTGGCCACTTAAAAGTGTTTTGTGGCTATTTTGATTGGTCGGTCGATTTTGCTCATGTTGTGACACCCCACTCCAATTATATATTTTCGAATCGACTGGATTATCATATATGTCTAAACATTCTCTTTTATTTATTTTTAATATATTGTTTATCTGACTGTATTGGTTTTGGCTAGTATGGCGAGACCATCCACAAGCAACACTCGAAGATTTAGACCGACCAGGCGTCGACGACGAGCCCAACTCGGTGCAGGAGCACTACGACGACGGGTACCAGTATCAAAACATCTTTGGGCCGCTCGTCAAGATGGAGTCGGACCACGACAAGAAGATGAAGGAGTCGCAGACCCAGGACAATGTGTTTGTGCGGTGGGATATTGGTCTAAATAAGAAGAAGAACGCGATCTTTACGAGTAACCGCCCGGACGCCGACTTCCGCCTCGTACCCGGCGACGAGATCCGGCTCCGGCTCGGCGGCGGATCGGCCATGGTGTACGGCAAGGATTGGGAGGGCACGGGCCACGTGCTCCGCCTCGACGAGTCGGAAGTGACGCTTGAAATGCGCAACTCCCATGTTCCCGTAAGAACAAACCCAGCTGCATGGCGATCTTGGTTGATTGATGTATATATATATATATATATGTATGTGTGTGAAGTGTCGATTGAATGGGTTGGCATGATGGTTGAAGGAGTAAGGTTATATGGTTGATTGCCGAAGTACAGTAAACGACGGATTTTAGGCCACACTATCACTTGAAGTTGTGCCTAATCGTAATTTTACTTGGTCACAGCCCAAATTAGAGGTGTATATTGCATTCAAAAGGGTGCTATTTTTGTCTTTTGAGCCAAATGTTGGTCTTGCGTGTGTGCTGATTCTCCCCATCCAGCGAAGTTTTGTACTGAAGTTTAGGTGGATCATTGATGCCGGTCACACTATTTAAAGTTTCACGACACGATTTACAGTCATATTATGTGGCAACATGATGGGCTAAATACTGCAATTCTTTCGCAAGAATTCGTCTGCTCATTTGGTTGTCGCTCCCCTTTGGAATATACACGCAACACACTATTGTCTTTCATTCAGCCCAAAGTTGGACTTTTGGTGGTGATATGTCAAATCAATTTTTTTTAAATATATAAAGTGTCGCCTCCCCTCACACTAATATCCGTCCAACATTGATTCGATGTCGACGTGTACTAGTATTTGATTGGCCACTTGATATCCGTGCTGTGTGTTTTGATTGGTCGGTTGATTGAAGTCTGCCCATGATTCGATGCTGTTCCACCACCACCCCACTCCAATATCAATTAATCACCTTGACACGATTTGTATGTATTTCGCTTAACAGCCAAAATGTGTGGACATTTGCTAGGACATGTACGAAATACTGATGTTGTGTGTATGTGTCTGGTAGGTGGAGATCACGGACGGGTACTGCGTCGACTTTGTGTGGAAAGCCACGTCGTTTGACCGGATGCAGAGCGCCATGAAAACATTTGCCGTCGACGACACGTCGCTCACGGGGTACTTGTACCACAAGTTACTCGGCCACGAAGTCGAAATGCAAACGTTTCGCACCAAAGGCCACGCGGCGACGGGGCTGTCGGTGCCGGGGCTGCCGGAGCTGAATCCGTCGCAGCTGCTCGCGGTCAAGGGGGTGCTCCAGCAGCCGCTCAGTTTGATCCAAGGGCCCCCTGGGACTGGCAAGGTAAGTGCAGTCAGTACATTGAGGCCTTGTGGATCTTTGAGTTTTTTATGTTGATGTTTGGTATGTTTGGATGATGGAATTATCCTAGTTTTACCCAACATTTGGACTACTTTTGTGCTGAAACGCCAAATTTATCGATCGATTATTCTTTGTTTATGAATTTCATATGTAAAACGATGCCAAATGTGGTGATTGGTATTACACTAATTGTGAAGTCACATACACTAATTTGATTCATGTTGGTTTCCTGCAATCTGATTGGCTCAATTCTTCGCACTATATATTGCAAGTCAGACCCCCACGACCTTTGGTGATTGATATTAACTGGCGACTTGCAACATCTTCGTGTTGTTGTGGATGGGTTATGTGTGACGCTGTGCATCGAGTCGATACACATGTTGGAGTCATGGACAAAAATACGTATGGGGTAGACTAAATATTTTTATATACTTTCTTATGATCTATTTTCCATTATCACTTGTCATTACTCACGGAATCTCGTTTGATTTTTTCAATAGTTACTACGATATTTCAATTCACTATGCTTAAAATTTTCACATAGACGGTGACGTCGGCGTCGATCGTGTACCATCTGGTCAAGCAAAACAACGGCCAAGTGCTGGTGACAGCCCCGAGTAACATTGCCGTGGATCACTTGACGGAGAAAATCGCGTCGACGGGGCTCAAGGTCGTGCGGCTCGCCGCCAAGAGCCGCGAGGCTGTCACGTCCATCGTGGAGCATCTGACGCTGCACACGATGATCAAGTCGCTCGTGTCACCAGACAAGGCGGACCTGCGCAAGTTGATGCAGCTCAAGGAAGATCAGGGGTATATATATATATATATATTTATATGGGGGCGACTATATATATATATATATTTGGGTAGAGAACTGTCGTCGCAGGATGAAAAGCGGTTCAAATCCCTCAAACGCAACGCCGAACGCGAGATCTTGCAGGCCGCGGACGTGATTTGCACCACTTGTGTCGGTGCTGGCGACCCGCGGCTGTCCAACTTTCGCTTTCGCCAAGTGCTCATCGACGAAGCCACCCAGGTAGGCACCACTCATGTTATCTACATCATTGCTCAGCAAGTTGTGTGTCTAGGCCACCGAGCCAGAGTGTTTGATCCCGATCGTGCAAGGCGCCAAGCATGTGGTCATGGTGGGCGATCACATGCAGCTCGGGCCTGTCGTGATGAACAAAAAGGCGGCCAAAGCGGGTCTGAACCAGTCGTTGTTTGATCGGCTCATTCGGCTGCAGCATCGTCCGTTCCGCCTTCGCGTACAGTATCGCATGCACCCCTGTTTGTCCGAGTTTCCTTCCAATATGTTTTACGAAGGTACAACACGACCGACTTGTGTTTGGGCAAACTATTATTGTAGTGTCACCCAAATTTTTAAAATTATATTATTTGGTTTTATTCACATCGATCGATAGTGTGTGTTTGTGTACTGATATTTATGTTTGTATATAATAAACGTTGTGAAACTCATTTGGACGATTTTTAATTCGACGGGTGCACAAAGAATATTTGATTGGCCGCTTGAAATTGTTTTGGGTTTTCATTGGTCGATCGATTGTCTGCCGATTGGGTTGTGCTCATTGGATGGAGCGCCCCACTCCAGATACGAATCGACTTATATATATATATATATATTATATTTAAAGATATGTATATAAAATATATATAAAAATATAGAGAAATGACAATGTCTATTTTTTATATATATATAACGGGAAGTGATGAATAGGGGAGCTGCAAAATGGCGTGAGCACGAGCGACCGCATTTTGAAACACGTGGCGTTTCCGTGGCCGAATCCGCAAAAGCCGACTTTTTTCTACATTTGCTTGGGCACGGAAGAGATTAGTTCGTCAGGAACGTCCTACTTGAACCGTACGGAAGCAAGCAACTGCGAAAAAGTAGTCACACATTTCCTCAAGGCCGGCGTGTTGCCGTCTCAAATTGGTACAAATATATTTATATATGTGAATATTGTGTGTATTCTAATATTCAGTGAATATTGTGTGATACAAATATATACATATCTTTGAAATATTATGTAGTCTATATATATATATCTGTGAATATTGTGTGAAAGATGTCTCGCTTGAGATTAATATCGTTTACGGTATCTCTATCAACTATTGTACTATTTTTGAACTCCAATCATAAGGTTGACGTCATTTCTGCCTCCTTTGATTGATCGTTCGATGAGTTTTTTTTGTCTCTTGTGCTCTTTAGAAAGTAGTTGATATATATATATTCTTTTATATCCTTCATTGCGTATAGAATAATATTGAATGGTGTGTTATATTTAGGTGTGATCACGCCGTACGAAGGGCAGCGGGCGTACATTGTCAACTTTATGCAGCGCAACGGGCCGATGCGGTCGCAGCTGTACAAGGACGTGGAGGTGGCGTCGGTGGATTCGTTCCAGGGACGAGAAAAGGACTTGATCATCCTCAGCTGCGTCCGAAGCAACGAGCACCAGGGCATTGGGTTCCTAAGCGACCAGCGGCGCCTCAATGTAGCGCTCACGCGAGCCAAGTACGGCGTCATCCTGCTCGGCAACCCGCGCGTGCTGGCCAAGCAGGAGCTCTGGAACGACCTGCTCAACCACTACCGCGACCAGTCGCTTGTGGTCGAAGGGTCCCTTAACAACCTGCAGCCGAGCTTTATGCACTTTCCACGCGTGGACAAGCGGACGGACCGCGGCGGTGGCGGCAGTCGCTCGCGCCATCAGGACTTCCAGCCGCCGCGAAGCCAAACGTTTGGACGACAGGATCCGCTCCCGCCGTTGGATTCGCGCTTTGATCCGCGCTACGACGGCGGATTGTTTCCGCCATCGTCGTCGATTGGCAAGATGCCGCCGCCGCGAGGGGGGCCAGGGGCCTATCAGCCCAACGTTGCGATGGGGCCGTTGACCCAACTGGAGGAGGCAAACCACCACCATGCTTTGCATCTTGGTGGGCTGGACATCGGCGCGGACGGACCGTTCACGCAGGCGGCGGCAGCCACGCAATCGTTTTCGCAGTTTTCCATGGGCGTGGGGCCGGCGGGGGGGATGTCGCAAGATCCATTCCAATACGACTACAAGTCGCAAACGATGTCACAGGATATTTCTTCGGCCAAGTCGACGACGCTGACCGGTGGGTTTTACTGAGCAGCGGCCCACCAACGAACTAGCCACTGGGGGGAGGTCGGGGAAGGGGGGTCGAAGGAAGCGACCGGTCGGTCAGTTGAGCGAGGTACCCGGCGCGGCAGACACGGGTGGTGTGTGTCGTGAACATTTTGGCCTTCCCTTTCGCGTACGACGACCGATAACGGGACCCGGAGGTCGGCTAACTTTGTAATCATGCATTCAACAACAATGGGCTTTTACGCTGTTCAAGAGCGTCATGCACGAATAATCATTACGTTAGCGGTTTTATGACCAATCATTGGATTTGTGTGAAATTTGAACCAATCAAAAGAGTAGAATCTGGGTATAATGTAATTATATTGCCATTGTTCCAAAAGCTGCGTGTGTAGTATTCTCCAAATAAAATCAGCCAAATATATCGAAGACAAGAGGTGTCTTTGGCTGTATAATTTAATTCCCAGGAAAATGTCAATGTCATCTCAATACTGTATGAGCTTACTTATGATTGGCTTCATTGTACTGGATAAGGTAATCGTTTTAATAAAATTGATTGATTTCTAATTTCACACCTAATAGAATGTCCAAACGTGTCAGTCAGTGATTTGGGAATAAACAAATACTAGTATAACAAATCGAAATATCTCACCGGTTTGAACGTGGTCATTGTTTTACAAACCTCATTTAAAAATACTACTGGTACACTAGAGAGACGTATATCATGTTATTATTATGAAAGGTGTCGTCGATGAGGAGTTCGAGGTGAGATATTGGAGTCTGAGGAGGACCCAATGAAATCGCGAGTGGAGAGCCAGCATACATCAGCTTACATACACATAGTTGCGCACATTGGCAGTACAACTCCTCCCGCCGCCGCCAGTCGAGGTAAGTACGCCATCTCTAAGATGAAACAAGCGAGATTGATGGGAGCTGACCATGCATAGTGTCCAGAACGAGAATGGCATGTGCGTGGGGCGAAGCAGGTGACGAATGCTGTCCGTACGTGACGATCATCGGCACAAGTATTGCGAGTGTGCTCGCGAGTGTCGGATGCATGGCGCTGGCGTTGTACATTTGGCAGCCCCGCGTGACGCCGTCGATGCCTTCCGCACAGGACGACGGCCCCGTGCGTATCACATTGCCGCAACATCTCTCAGCAGGCAGTCACTCAACGCCCATGGCACTCGACATCCACATCTATCCTCCTGCCACCGGCATCACGGCGACCACGACGTCCAACATGTCGAATGACATCGTGATGCTTCCAAGCTCGTCTCGACGGCATAAACAGACGCGAAAAATGTCCAAGTCGAGACCCGTCTCATCGTCGTCCACGTCTTCCCACCACCGCCAACCCAGCTTACGACCGACCCAGGACCAACCATATCATCATCACCATCATCCCATGGACTCGATCAACAACTACTTCTCGACCGGTCGCCCATCCTCTGCGTCCTACAGGCAGTCGACCGTCGTCTCCCACTTCTCGACGTATGCGTTTAGCGAACTGTCGTCGGAAGCGTCCAACAACAATGCGAGCAGTGTCGAGGCCACGTCCACGTACATCCCCATCATGGACGAGCCGCGCCATGTCTGCGACGGGTACGACCCCCGTCGCCTGTCGTCTCGTACATCCCACGAGTCCTCTCAATTCGTGGACACGTCGTCCCAAGTGTCCTCGAACGCCAGCTTCCTCACCACGACCAAGTCGTTTGAGAAATTATCGCTTGCATCCAAAGCGGACGACGATAGCTCTAGACAAGCTCGGTCGACCAAACCATCGACCTCTACTCGTCCAGAGAATGCTCGCCGGTTGTCGACGCGGGCGCGGGTCGACTCGGACATGTTGTCGTCGATGACGGGGACGCCGTTTGTCGTCCCAGAAGATGCAGCGTTATCCGTCGTGAGCTCCACCGCGGCTCAAGTCACATCATCTCCACGAGAACGACCCCGTGCTCCTGGTCTCGATGATAATGGTGATGATTGTAGTCGTCGTCGTAGTCGCTGGTAGGAGTAGCGCCGGATGAATGCAGACCTTTATTTAGTTGATGATCGTGGTGGGTTGCTTTTTTTTTGCTTGGGTGCCGACGCCTGATACGTTGCCATGGAGCCAGAGTTCGCCACCATCATCGCGTCGTTGAGTCCGCGATGGACGTACACATGCAGCAGCGCCGTGCAGTACGCCATCAGCTTGGCCATGTCGTCCTGCTCATGCGGCTGGAACCGACCGAGTACGTACTGGTCCAGCTGAAGGCCCGGCGGGGGGTTGCCCTTGTTGCTCGGGTTGTGAAACCACGTTGGACACCCGATGCCAATCTTGAAGCGCGCAAACTTCTCCGTCGCCACGCACTTGATGACGTCGCGCACGCCGTTTTGTCCCCCGTGGCCGCCCTTGGCCTTGAAGCGACACGTGCCGAACGGGAGCGAAATGTCGTCTGTCAACACGAGCAGCTCGTCGTGCTTGTTCATGACCAGCGCATTGTTCTTCAGCCTACGAGGAGTCGTGGGATGGATGGACCAATGCAACAGTTAAACCTACCGGAATCGATGCAAGTCCATGTAACTCCGCACGGACATGCCGGATCGATTCATGAACGTCGACGGAAGGAGTCCGTGGACGTCAGCGACTGGGTATGGCACACCTTCCTCCAGCGTGCGTTTCTTTCGTCTCTCCGAGATCTGATCGATCAAATCGTCCCCTTTGGCGTCGGCAAATGAAATCTGCGCCGTGAGGACCTCGCCATGTACGCCCTTTCCATCCGTCCATGGACTGGCCGTGTGCTGCTGAAGAAAGTGCGTCGCCGCCATCTTGCCCACGTTGTGTCTACATGCATCGTCGTTCAGGGACAACGTTGGGCACATCAAGCGCATCCATACCTAGTCATCTTGAACTTCTCGCCTGGGTTGCCAAGACCTACGAGGAGGCGGCGGACGAGCGGCGCGACCGTCACCTTTGCTGCTTCCTCGACAACAGTCATGTAATTATTGACAAGTGCTGTCCTTTCGCGGGGATTTATTAAAATGACTGGGCATTATTATTGTATTCTGAATTCCAACTATTGTTTTGTATCCTACTTTAACGATTTTGTATTTAATTACGGGGCTTGTATTTTTGAAATGAAACAGCATGTCATTCGTACTATCATCAATCAACATGCCAAGTGGTGGCCTGCCAGCCATTCTTCGCGCGGCAAAGCCGTTCTTCCTCATCGCGGGCCCATGCGTCCTGGAGTCGGAGGCAGTGGTGATGCAGATTGCCAACAGACTGAAGGACATACGCGACGACCTCGGCATTCCCGTTGTCTTTAAAGCCAGCTTCGACAAAGCAAACCGACAAGACCTCGCGAGGTACCTACCCACCATCCATCCTGCAACCAACAGCTACCAACCTATCGTCGACCTCAACGACGCGATGGTAGCTATCGGGGACCGGGTCTCGAAGAAGGACTGATGCTCTTGCAGCATGTCAAAGCAACGACAGGATTGCCGCTGTTGACCGATGTCCACGAGGTTGGTAGTACGTCCATTTGATGTTCAACGTCGAGTGACGTCTGTCCACAGACGTACCAAGTTGCTTCCGTCGCGAAAGTGGTTGACATTGTCCAGATTCCTGCATATCTCTGTCGACAGGTACTCCATCTTCCTCGCAGCACCATCCATCGCCTTGACCCTTCCAACAATCATCGCCGTAGACAGACTTGCTGGTAGCCGCCGCGCAAACAGGCAAACTGGTCAACATCAAAAAAGGCCAAATGACGTCTGCAGACACCATGGTACGCGCTCTCCTCCTGCATCTTCAATGGCATCGCGTCAAACTCCATGTCGTTGTAGCTTCTCGCGGCCAAAAAAGTGACGGCTACCACTGGACACTCTGGTTCGTCCAATCCATCAATCAACAAACCCCCCCGTTTGCATATGACCCATGTGTATTCTTCGTTCCTAGATGTGATTCTCACGGACAGAGGCACAATGTTTGGATATGGAGACCTCGTCGCGGACCCGCGCAACATTCCGCGGCTGCGGCGCCATGGCGGGCTCGTCGTACAAGACGTCACGCACAGGTACACGTTGTCGTCATCAAATTCCTTTCTCCATGTGCCCCATCACGTTGGTCCTTTATTTGTAGCGTACAACGCACAGGCGGGGATAGCACCAGCAGCGGTGGCGACCGCGAATTCATACCGACCATTGCACGCATGGCGGCTGCAGGTAGGTACCTTCGTTGCCCCTCAAGTCCAACCAACCAACTGACGAAGAACTTGCTAGTTGGCGTCGATGGGCTCTTCATCGAGACGCACCCTGAGCCTGCTCGAGGCCTGAGCGACGCCACGACCATGTTGCCTCTGCACGAGCTGCAGCCGCTGCTGGAAGAGCTGATGGGCATTGCATTGGCATCCAAAGCCAAGCAAGGACGATAGGAGAACCCATACATATATATACATACACAGGCCATTCATTTCAATCCTCGTGCCGGATCGTAATGTCCTTCAAACTGTCCTCGACCTGCGGCAGACGATGCTCAGCCGGCCACAGCTTCTTGAGCATGCGGTCCACACGACGGAACACGCGGGTGGACTGCGGGCCCCTGCGACGTTGTCGGTTCCTGGGCACTTTGGGCCGCCTCGGACGAGGACTTTCATTCGTCGGGGGCGTTGACAGTTCGTCCAGCACTTGGGCCCGCGTCGCGTGGTACCCCTCGACACTTTGCACTTTCTACAGCCCCCCATCATCATCAATCGTCAAGACGGGATTGGTTGGTTCTCATGGGGGGACATGTATGTATGAGGCTGGTATACCTTGAGCTGTTGCACGAGGTTGAATCGGAACTGTGCCGTCATGTTGTCCTTGGACAGGTTGTTTTGCATGCTCAGGGGAATGGGGGCGATGGCGCCCATGCCGTGGTGGACGTCGTCGAGGCCGATATCATTGTCATCTTCAGGTAAGTACGATGGTCGTAGGGCTCTTGGGCGTGGGGGGGGGGTTGAAGAAGGATGGGTGGGGGGGCGCGCCTCTCCCTTTTTCCGCACGTCGTCGGGCACCTTGATGCGTTCGTTGGTCATGTGATATTCGTCTTGGCATGAAAGCAAGACCTTAAGGTGTCCTCCAACACGACTACATACATACGTACTTGTAGCTTGGGGGTGGTTACGAACCCATGCGATTCGCAGATTCGAGTCTGGTTGTTTGCTGCGACTTGCCAATCTTTGAGGATTTGCTCCCGCGGTGTTAACAGTCTGAGGGTTGCATTGTGAATCTGCACGCTTGACACAATCTACCACACAAGAGCGTGGTCATGACGTGGCAACGCGCGAGCACAACGAAAATACATGCACACTACGAAGCACTCTACGAATGAACAACTACAGCCCACTGCGAACAAACGATTCAAGCCACACGTCAATCATTGAAGCTCACAACGAATGTACGATCGAAACGAATGAACGATTGAGAGGCATGGACGTACGGCCGTGGCAGCGACGCGGAAGCGCATCTTCAACGACGGGGGGTTGGTCACGTGTTCTGGCTTGAGTGTCGACTTGGCGTGGAGCACCCGGCGCCGCTCGAGCGCGAGCTGTTCGGACTTTTGCTTGTCGGATAAGCCTTTGCGCTTCTTGCGGATGTCAGCCTTTTCCTTGGCAGCAATGACCTTGGAACATCGAGAGTCGGCTACACCAGTAGGGCACATGAATTATGGACCAAAACTCCATAGGGAGTACTAGGGATGCGATGTAAAGTTACCAGTGTTGTGGTCCCCGCTGCCGCACCACCCACACAACACATGCGCATGCCTCATCATGGCTCGTGTGGATCTACAAACAGCATCAAGGACGGGGATGCATAAAGAAGCAAGGGTATATTCAGGTATTAATAGGTACGTAGGTACGTAGGTGTACATGGTGAAGAGCAGCCGCGGGTGCGACACTGCAATGGCCAACCGCGTGTCGCGCCAGTGATCTCGAGCTTGCGCGACTTGTTTGAACAGCGCGAGCGCCGCCACGACCGATTCGAGCCGATCGACCAAAAAGACATCGAGCCACGTCGAGCGCTAACACAGCAACCACTACTAGGTTGGTTTCATCCAAATGGGGACGATGTTGAACAACTACACTCACTTACGTCCATCACCAACGCTTTCACATCGGTAACTACACGGTCATATCATATGATACCAAGTTGCAAAACATGTGACAAAGGTAGTACGACGGTGTCACGTGTACCTGCTCGGAGGTCCACTTTGCTGTGGGTTTGGTTGTACACCAACGCATGCTCCCCTTCAAAACACACACGCCGTTGAGTAGCCAGCCACCACAGTGATAGAGTATAAATGATATGGTATATCTATCTATATGTTATATATATAGCACACACCGCAAATGTCGTGTTCTTCATACAAGGCAATTTCGACACTGACGCGTTTGCGTTTGAGTTCGCTGAGGGGAACCCCCTGCACGACGTGGTCGGGGGTGGTCGTCGCGTCTGAATGCGGCGACTGCTGCTGTTGAATAATCAAAGTACTGGGGGCTCCGTTGTTGGACGCCCTTTCCTTGCCCGCCTTTTTGCTCTTTTCGTCCACGGGCGTATACTTGATTGCGACGCCATGTTCGTCCATGAGGCACACCATCGGCATCGATTCTTGCACAATACCCGAGTAGATAAAGTACATGACGTTCGCTTCGTTGCCATGGCGCAGTAGGAAGCTCTGTGTCCAACCATCCACGTTCATTCAGGTCTCCAAGAACGTTCATTCAGGTATCGAAAACGATCGATGGTGACGTACATCGGCGGCGACGGTCACTTGGCGCAGTTTGTTGGAAAAACGCTGAACGTCCCCATGACTCCACGAGTCAAAGTAGAACAAATCTTCGAGAAACTCGTACTGGGTGAACCCGACCGTATCACCGTTGCTGGCGCGGACAAGACGCTGGTACGCGGCGCGCTTGAGGCAAATGAACGACGTGAGCGTCGTCGACACGACCGTGCATGTGCGCTGTGCAGTGGGTTCCATCACGGCGAGCTCGCCAAACGTGCCCCCGGACCCGATGAATCGAATGAACTTGCCGAATTGTTTCGGTAGGTGGGGGTTGTGGCCCACAAAGTGGCGGTCGCTGGTCGTCGCGTGGGAGGATGACATGTCGTCGAGAAGGGCACTTTGCATGAGCTGCTTTAAGTCGTCTTCGAACGGCTTGGACTGCTTCTTGTCGTGCTCCTCGACATACAGACCCACTTGGCCCGAGATGATGATGTAAAACACGTCTCCAAAATCGCCCTGATAGCAGATCACACTGTTGGGGGGCGCCGTGTACAATGTCATTTCGCGGCAAATCGTTTTGCAAATCACATCTTGGATCCCCGAAAACAGCTTGTTGGTGCTGCCATTTTTGAGCACCCATTCAAACATCATGTCGATTTCTACGCTCCCAGTCAAACTACAACACATTGTACACTGTATATTCTAGGGATGCACCGACCTTCCACGGTGCGCATGTCTGGTCGCTTTCCCAGTACCTTCATCAACATTTGGGCATCTGAACTTAGCTGTGGAATGTTGGGTTGGGTTGTCACAAGTCTTTGGTTCGAACCAAGGAGACGCCGCGACGATGACGGTGGAACGTCCCGCATCGTATGTAGCTTCACGCGACTGCCTCTGTGGCTGGTCATGGCGGCGCCACCCCCGTCAGTTTGCAGTCAAGAATGAACAACAGTTACTGAATCGGTTTCAGAATCCGTTACACATCCGTAACCCAACTCCATGCAGGATTACAGGTGAGTTGAAACCCTCCCTGCAACGACCTCGATTTGTATACTAGTACGTCGGGTATTGAAAGTGCATGTTATTACACATGAGTAACGTTGCAACATCCTAGAACACGAGCACAATCGTGTTTTTTCCCCGTTGTTAAATACGCAAGACTCAACGAACGCCTCTCGATCGTCTACACCACGATCGATGCGGCCTCGGTTAACGCCAATGAGTCTTCGTCGTCTCGTTTGGCGTGGGTGAGACACAGTCCGTTGCGCTGTGCCCACTTGTCGCAGTTGTCTTTGGCACACTTAGCCCCGCCCCCGTGCTGCCGACACAGCTGACGCAGGTGCGCCTTCTTCACACAGCCGTCGACCAAGCACGGCCGACCGCCGCCGTGCAGTTTGCACAATTTCTGGCTCTGAGCGGCGCGGTTGCACTCGGAGACGGCGCAGCGTGACCCGCCGCCATGTCGAATGCACATCCCCCGGCTTTGGACGCTTTTTGTGCACCCCACAGACGCGCAGCGCTTGGACCCTCCGTGGCGTTTACATTTGCCGTATGCCCGGGCTTGACTGGTGCAGCCAGCGACATCGCAAATACGTCGTCGAAACGAGTCTGGCGGCGACTCAACTGCCACTTCAGGGGACGTCGCTACTCGAGAGGGGGGGAGTCGCAGGAGCGGCAGCATTGCGATCGTATCAGGAATGATGTCGTTGTACGTAAACAACGGCGGTAATCCGTTCGATGTACTTGTCGTAGTACTGGTGGCTGCCAAGTTTCTCAAGCTGCTGCTGCTGCTGTTATGCGCAAGCATGAGATCCGTTGTCCATATGGCCGGACTTGATGTGTCATAATGATGCTCCGATGTCGAGCTAGGGGGGGGGTTCATGCATGGATCCGTCGCCATGAGTTCGTGCAGTGAGATATTCAGCCCAGGCGGAGGCGTGGCGTCAGGGGGCGACACCAGCACCTGGGGAGAAGGCGGCGAATGCATGACCCTGTTAAAATGAACAAGTAAACACTTGGGAAAAGTAGCGCGTCTCGTCCCATAACCCAACTGCCAAAACTCATATATATATATTATTAGGTATATATTTGCGGTTTCTTATCGATGGTACGTACGATCGTTATATTAATACTTCTGGAGTATTATTCTCGCAATCATCCAAACCGCAGTAACGTTAATCTAAAGTTTACCTGACCCCGTCATCAAGCAATTGTCGAACACCTTAGCCTTGATGTTATATTGCTTTACAAAGCTGTGTTGTGATCTAGGGGGTAACGTGGGGGCATGCATGTGGCAACGCGTTTTCTCGCACATCTTTTATGAACGTGGATATCGATAAGTTATAGTGTGTCTTACGTATGACGAATCGAGGGGGGATTTATAGCTGAGGGTTGTTGTAGTTTCGACCACGACCCGAGCCTTCAGGGTCGAGTGAAGAGTCCGAAAGCATGGTCACTCGAGCCCCCCCTGATAACTGACGCGTTGTACGTGGAGCTGCTGTCCCGCCAGTGGGTTGAGTTCGTTTCCCGTCCAGTGCCAAGGGCAGTGAAGACTGAAGCCGTGGCGACGCTTTCACTGCAATCGCTTTGTTGGTCGTACCCAGTGCATGTGGAGGTTTGGTGGCTCTGGGGGGAATGGATGATGTACTCGTTGTCAACCGAATTGGTAGTCCCTGGTGAATGCCCAACGTGCAATCTGACTTGTGGTCGTGTCGCTACCGTGGTAGGTATCGGTTTTGCGCCCGTGGAACGACTTGGACAGTTCCACATGTGACACTCCCCCTGCCGTCGAAGATCTTTGCGGACGGAACCGCAGCATCATCACACATTGTCGAGCGTGACTACCCCGGCGGTAATGCATGTCAAGGACCATCATTCCGGCAAGTGCCACCACGCTCCCCAAGGAAGAGAGCGTAACTATGAGCGTGGGGGGGTAAGAAGGCCGCGCCTAAATTGGTGGGGTTGTTGTTCGTAGTCACGACGACTGTGTCGACATACATGACATTGATCTTGGCTGGCAGCGCGGTGTTGATGAGTATGGTGAAGACGCCTGGAGATGGCAATTGCACGATGGTTTGAAAAATGACAGAGCAACGGAGCTACTGTTGCTACTAGCTCGAGTGTTGTTGACAGCAATGCTATCGACTGAGCTGATACACGTAGGGTCACGACAAACGAAGAGTCTGGACGTGGCTTATGTGGGGATTTGGGATACCGTGGTGAGCACGACTACCCAGTCGATAGCACAGGACTGGTTGGGGAGGAATAGGACATTGGAACTGCAGTTTTGACGCAGGTCCACAGCTACGGGGCAGTCGCAAGGACTTCTGAACATCATGAAATCGTTCGCAAGTGGTTTCGTTGATGCAGTGCCAATCCAGCACAATGGGGGAGGGAAGGCGTTGACGATGGTCGTCACAGTGGCCAGCATACACCTCCATATCACGGGCATTGTGCCTGCCTGAGTTAAAATGCGTTGCGACAGCACAATTGTAGTACGCAAAAGAAATAACTGTCGATGCGACGACACTACATGAGTACTTGTAAAATGTGCTCAAATAGATGAAAGCGGCTCTAGAATGATTGAAATGGCAAAGCTGGCTTGAATTAAACCCCTCAAGATTTGAAAATATGGCAACAAGGACTACTCTCAACTTCAACCTGGCCTGTCCGAGTTTGCGCCAAGTCATCAGATTTTGTTAGCTGCGAAAGAATTTTCCGATTGAGACGGGTGATGATGCGGGAAAATCAGTTTCGCTAGGGCAAAACCCGCAAAACGTAATGTAACGTTACAGTAATTGTGAATGAAAAACTTGGACACGACTTAATTTTAAATGAATATAAAATGGTTTACGAATGTAAACAGCACAGTTTTCATGTTGCAAAATGAAACTTCCATAGTACTAGTACAGTATAATAGTACAGCATGACCTTCAAAAATCTTACAGTACCTTACAATTGTCCAAATCCTTCCGATTTTATGGAGTCAAATTGGCCACGAAAGGGTATCCATTGTGTCAGTTTCAAAATGTAAACACCTGTTTATATTTTACCAAAAAGTATTCTATTTTCGTTTGAAAGTTAACCTAACAACTATTAATAAATATAATTTAAAACCTTAATTTTACAGGTTTTGCCCAGGCCAAAATATTTTTTGCGATTTCCCGCAGCCTCCCGAAACATTGTCTGTGAATGAGGGAATTATGCCATCCCGATACACTTTCTTGACGGTAGCCCTGTAACCTGGGACTCCGTCCTAACGTTAACGTAGATTTCCAATTTAAGAGACATATTTTGGAGGCGCCGTCTTGAAATGGAAGCAACTCAGCGCTGACGAATGGGATTCAACCCCTGAAAGTTGATACATGAAGTGGAAAGGCGAGTCATTTGATAGTGGATTGAAACATCGATTTTGAAGGTATCCTTGATGTACTGAAGTCTCATTTTCCAAGCAAAACACCTCTTTAATTGAGGGACATTTTAAGAGACATATTTTAGGCTTCGAATTTGTATGGTCCATTGCATATTAATTTTGTGGTTAGGGTATGGATTCTCAAGAGGTAAATTCACACTTCATACAGGTTATCAAATTATAGGACTAATAGTTCGATGGATACACGGTCAGTTCATCCCATAGAAGTTCAAGAGCGCACATCTTCGCAACCAGGCGAGGTATGCCACAATTCACTATCAGTACTGAATACCCATCACCAGTAGATTACACAACAATCTCCACATTGCTAACACTACGAGTGGTCGCTCCATTAACGTTAGGCAAAGGCGCAAGGCTAAACTTGGCGGCCAAGGCGGCCCACTTCCTTGCGAGAGGCGACATAACGATCTTCGTACCTCGATTGCCCCTCTTGACCAACAGGGCCTTCTTTCGTTTCGCGGCTTCCTGGCGTTCCGCTTTTGTCTTGTCCATGTTGTGCAGCAACGCCAAGGTAAGAATTCGCCCACCTACAGTTCATGACCCGTGACAATCATATAGGGAAAAATAGCAATCACCAACCAACATCAATGCGTTTTCTTGTTGACTTCTTCTTGGCCTTGGTTGGAAGGTACAGTGCTTCACTTCGAACGACGATCTGACGTTCGATCCATAGGGCTTCCACGAATGACTTGGGTACGCCACAGTTTTTGAAAAGGTTGTATCGCTTGATCATTTGCTCCTGTGATAGGGGCCACAATCCGGTAGCACGATAACCGCTGATGACGTTTGCAGGCAACACACTTTGCGTCCAGGATGTCGAGGCGATTCGCAAGGCCGCTGCCTTTGAAATGGAATGAAATTCTCCAGTTTCTATCGTTTACATGATACATCCTCTGCTTTAAGTTAATTATATTTGCAAAATATACCGTACCGTCTTGGACCATTGCTTCAAAGATAGCTTTACGAATTGAACACTTGTAAGGGCCAAACACAGATACATCCAGGGGTTGAAATAAATGCGTTGCATTCGCGGGAAGGCAAAGTAGTACAATTTGAAGTGAAGTACACAATGCTAAAATGTCCGAGGAATAATGCGAAGCAAGGACATCAAAAATCAGCAACACAGGACGATTAACTGTTTTGTCCAAAAAAGTAGAAACATGTCGCAACCACTCTTCAAACAAATTCTCATTCATGAAACCCTTTGGTGAAGTTGACACAGTAGCATTAGGGACATCGCATTCAGAACTTAATATCTTTTCAACCGTTTCACCAGGAAATACAAATGATGGTGGCAATACAACCCCAGACGCACTGGAACAGGCCACAATAGACAAATGGAAGTTCGTTGCTACCGTTTTGGCCCATACATTCTGAGATCCCTTCAAGGCGACCACCGACTTGGACTTCTTCCGGGAAGCAAACGCCGTTTCGTCCATATTAAAGATATGGTCGGGGGTCAAGGCGTGGTTCGTGATGGCATCGGACATCGAATCGAACAACATGTTCACACCCTCCATGGTGACTGCATTTCTTGCGTGGGAGATCACCTGCGCGACGCGGTTCTTCAATTGGGGGTGGCGCTCACGAAATCGCTTGAACCAACCGGCACCGACTGCTAACGACGCGTCAAGCCGACGGACAAGCTGGTTGGCGTTGACGAGGATGTCTTGGCGATCGACAGGGTACCCGTCTTGCTGCATGGCTCCAATCCACGCAACCAGGTCCGTCTCGCATGATTGTGGCAGGCATGGTTTCGGGCCTCTGCGAAATGGCACTTTGAAGGTCCCCGCCTTCGTTTCGCGCACGGCTTTCATCAATGTCTTGTACGGAATCGTCGTGTGTTCAGCCACAATGGTACCTATCTGGCCATCAAGCACTGCATGAACTGCTCGTTCAAGCTCATGCTTGTGTGTATCTCCTGCGTGGTCGAGGGACCATGGAGGCGCGAAATCAAAACTGATGATTGAGTAGCTTATCAATTTATGGGGGAAATGCCGCCAAAAAATACTGGAGTATGATTGGCTGAACACGAAGTCTCTTAAATTGTCCGATGTCTCTTAAATTGGAAATCTACGTTACCCCCGAGATGTAAGCATATAACTAAATCCTCAGGATCAACATTATCTCAGTGGTTTGCGAGAGACAATGAACCTACGACATATCATTTCAAGAATCCACAACTGCGGATCCCCAGTATCTACAACTTCAAGCTACTCACATGTCGCGTAGTATATTACAATACTGCTCACCATTTCAGCTTCGTACGCCTTTGGCCCTGTAACGTCTGAAACCCCAAAACCCTTGTGCTTAGGTATAATTCAAACGTTTAGATACCTCAGTTGGTTAAGATTATCGCTCAACGGATAAAAGGTACTCCGGGCTACAGCTGTAAAGCACTTGTGTCTACATGTAATGCCTCTTCCCGGGGTTGTGTCGCCAGTGCTTAACGACCGTTAACCAGCGAGTAACTTAGTATTAATAACTGGTTGATATACACTACTCCAGAGTAGTATCGATCAAACTGATGCATATATGCCACCAATATATATACAAAATTTAAGTACAGCAATTAGAGTCTTGATAGAAGTGTTGTACATGTACTGTTCCGGTAGATACAAATCTTCGTACTTGTACCAGATTGGGTGGTTCATACATGTAGAAACAATACTACGTGCCGTACTTTTTAGCTCGTATATTAATTGTACGAATTGCAATACATTATAATAATAATATATTGCAATTCGTACAATTAATTCTAGTATAGGGTAGAAGATAGAAAGACCAGGAAGCATCAAAAATATATAATAATATACTACGTAGTATTATTCATGCTTCCTGGTCTTTCTATCTTCTACTCTCCTTTCTACTCCTTCGTTCTCAGCCTGGTCTCTGCCCTTTCAGTCTCTTAAAGTTTAACGTACCTTCGTTTACGGCATTGCATAAGCTCTTGATCGCTGTCGCATTGCCCCTCAAGACGACTATTGTTCCGATGAGTACTGTAGCTCCCGCATGATTAAAAGGGCTCTACTGAATGAGCGCTGTTACAGTATGCACATTGGGTGGCATCTACCAGTGTTCCGTTCGTGATGAAGGGGTGGTACCGATTTGTTTCTCTTGTACTGTGCGCGCCACTGAATGCACAAATGCCAAAGAAGAGCATCTACAGATAGAGCGTAGGCAGACTGACATACTACGTACTTCCCTGCCAGCCCCCCCCCCCGCGACCATTCGTACCAAGTATGGGTTCCGATATTCTCAACTCTACAAATTCTACTTCCGGTCCTCACCCCCCCATCATACAGCGTGAACCCAATTTCTCATCCCCTAGCCTCTTACTTGAACGCATGTTCATGTTCGTCCAACTCGAACGTCTCCATATGTGACATCATTTACTATTCAAACAACGACGAGTCTATCAACATCGTTTGCAGCGTCGCTTTGACTTGCTCTGCAGTTGGTCGTCTCGACGGCTCCATGTCGACACATTGCATCCCGAGCGTTGCAATCCATTCCGGACATGAAGCCGAAAACGCCGGCCTTAGTAGTCCGAGGCGCACCTTGTCCATGATGCCCATCTCGTGCAGGATGTGGCCGTCGTCCGTTCGCAGGTTCCGAAACGGCACTTGGTGCGAGTCCAGTTCCGACAGAATCATCCCGAACGAGTACACGTCCACGGCTGACGTGTACCGACTGCCGAGGAAGAGCTCGGGCGCCATCCACCGATACGTGCCGACGCCGCAGCTCAGCGACGTGTTGTAGTCTTTCACAGTTCTAGACAGCCCAAAGTCTGTCAGTTTGGCCCCGACCCTTCGTCCTTCGTCTGTAACTCTGTCACATAGCAGCACATTGCGGCTCTTGAGGTCGCGATGGATCACATGCCGGTGGTGCACATACGTCAACCCGTCGGCAATGTCCAACGCTAGAAGGACCATGTCGTCCCAGCCGCAACTACTTGGCGTCGTCTTGGCAAGATGCGAAGTGAGATCCCCGCGAACGAGGAACTCCATTACCATCTGGATGTCGCCTGACGGCAGCCACGACGCGCCCAGCACTCGGCAGATGCACGGATGATGCAGTTCCACCATGAGCTGGATCTCATTTACAAACACTGTGATGTGGTCGATCGTTTGCGGATGGGTGGACACGAGCGTCTTGATGGCGACGACGGCGCCGAGGTAACGCCCGCGCCACACTTCGCCGTATGCGCCTTTGGCTACGAGCTCGTCTGCGTGCAGGAGCGAGTCGTCAATGCGGAATGGCCGCAGTCCCTTCATCTCAAACTTTTCACCGAGTGCGACGAAGTACGACATGGATTCGTTCATGGCGGACGACCTTCGTTGATACGACGATGCATACGGATGACATGGCAGTAGATCACTGCGCTCGTCGTGTCGTGGTGGCTCGGGAAACGACGCGCTGGGGACACGCAGAGCGTCTGGCATCTTGTCCAACGTCGAGCTGTACGATGCATCGTCATCGTTGTTGTTTCGTTGTTTGAACACCTCGCTGGAATCGTCGTGAGGGTGCTCTGCGAGGGTGAATGCCTTCCTGAGAAGTTGCATGTGTTGTTCTTTTCGTGCTGCGTACACCGATCGTGACATGGACACAAGGCGCCAAAACACGATGACGAGCTTGGCTAGGCCGACCAAGACGCCGACCGAGATGACGATGTCGTCTGAGAGAGACATAAGATGTGAAAACGGCCGTGTGGATGAAAGAGGGGGCATACCTGGCTCTATGTGTCGCATGGTGGACGGAGGAAGCGGTGGCTGTGGAAGCTGCTGTATCAATGTCCTTCTCACGGAGGACATGATGTGATGATTCATGGAGATTTTTGTCTGAACACGGTGGAGTGGCTGGTTTCCAATTGGCTAACATTCACTATATCTAGCATGCATTTCGTACGCAATGTAAACCTTTTAACCAAACACAAAGATGATAAATGTACGATATGAATTGAACCTTAATAAAAGAATGTATCATTATGCTTATATATTTGATTTATAACCACCACTACGAATGAGGTCTCTTCCGGATAATGGTTTCTTTCCAAATACCATTTGACTCACATATTGGTGGTCGTCTAAAATGTGGCGGTCGTTGGTTGTAGCACCGCGGCGGCTTGCCTTGTCAACACATTCGAATCGTCAGCTGTCGTCAACGACCAAGTCGTATGCGTTGCGAAGCTCCATCTTCATCCCGACCACTCGAGAAGTGCCGGCAGATGCTGCCATTCCAAGCCACCAACTGCTCCTTCGCGCGGGCTTTATGCGCAAATCATCGAACGGCATCTACATGATGCTACCCCTTGCCCTTCGGTCGCTGGCCAAGTTGGAAGCGATCATCGATACCCACATGCATGCCATCGGGTGCTCCAAGTTGAGCATGCCGAACCTTCTCCACAGTGACCTGTGGAAGGAGACTGGGCGATGGGACTCGAGCGGGCCAGAGCTGTTCCGTGTCCACGACCGCCGCGACGTCGCGCACTGCCTCGGGCCGACCCACGAAGAAGTATTTACGTCCCTCGTAGCGTCCACCGTCACGTCCCCCAAGGCACTCCCCCTTCGATTGTACCAAATCGGCCGGAAGTTCCGCGACGAGATTCGGCCTCGTTTTGGCCTGCTCCGTGCCAAGGAGTTCATCATGAAGGATGCCTACACGTTCGACGTGGACCGACATGGGGCGGAGGTCACGTACAACCTCATGGTACAAGCCTACCACGCCATCCTGAGCGAACTGGACGTTCCCATCGTCCAAGTGGAGGCGGACACTGGCAACATTGGCGGCAGCCTCTCGCACGAGTTTCACGTGTTATCAGGGTTTGGCGAAGACGCGATTTTGTCCTGCGGGACCTGTGACTACGCCGCCAACGTCGAAAAGGCCCGCGGGGTCGTCGGCGGCGGCGGCTCGACGCCCACCACTCTGGCGGACGTGCTTGCCCACGACAACGACGACGTTGCAGTCACGTACTTCCAAGCGACCGCCGCAGACTCGACCAAAAAAGTCCTGGCTGTGCTGTCTCCGGCAGGGCGACATGTGAACGTTCTGTCGCTGAAGCCACACGGAGTAGATGTCGACACCCTGACACCGCTGCCCGCCATCTGTGGGGACATTGCCTCGCGACCAGTGCAATATTTTGTCGACTCGGCGGTATCGGTTGATGGCCTTCCTACCGACGCCATCGTCGGAGAGTTCCGCCAGGCCAAAGAACACGATGGGTGCCCTAGCTGCTCAAACGGAACGTTAGTGGAGAAGCGCGGTATTGAAGTCGGGTACGCCGCCTGCGTTATGATCCACACTATTGGTGTCCCTATCACTGATTTTGACATTTGTGGGGTAGGCATGTGTTTTACTTGGGCGACAAGTACTCCAAGATCTTAAAAGCCAACTACGTCGATGCGTCCAACAAGGTGCAACCCATGGAAATGGGATGTTATGGCATGGGTGTCACGCGGCTCTTGGCCGCGACGGTCGAAAGTCTGCACGACACCCACGGCATCGTGTGGCCACAGGCGATCGTGCCGTATCGTGCGGTGGTCGTGGGGCTGGCCAAAAAGGAGGACGATGACGTGGCAGTCGCTGCGAAGGCCATTGCGGGTACCCTCGCGACAGTGTGGCCTGACGATGTAGTGCTGGACGACCGGTGGGGCGAACGGCCCGGGTTGAAGTTGACCGAGGCCGAGCTGATTGGCTACACGTGGCGCGTTGTGGTGGGCAAACGCTTCGCCTCGGAAGGGCTGGTCGAAGTGTTGCATCGACCGACCATGCAAATGAACCACGTGCTAGTGGACAATGTCCAGGCGCACATCCAACAGACACAGTAAAAAGTCCATTGAGAATAATAGAAGTTTGTGTTGATTTTTGTTATTACTGCAAGTTGCAAAGGAATGGCGTGGGCTCAACCCTACAACCCAAGGTACAAGTTAGGATTTGTCTAAGGAAGCAACTGAAGTTACATGACGAATTGGGTATGGGCGGCGGCTGGCAGTAAGTTCATCACCCCGCAGACTGTGCATTGAAATTGAGAGCCTGGTGCTGCTCGCTGGACATCGTGGGTGGTGCCGCACGACCCGCAGTTGAATGGGACTTGGAGCACTGGCTGCGCCATGACCAGTCCAGGAGGGCGGTTGAGCTGCTGATCCAAAGCGCGGGCATACACTTCGTCAGGTGAAAGAGAAGATTGCGGCGGAGCGGTGCCCTCAGTAGCCTACATTTGGGTGATGTTGCATTGGTGTGGAGAAGTGTGGACAACATTACTACCTGGGGAGGCGGAGGTGGTGTTGTGATCGACGTCGACTCGTGCGAACTGTGTTCTACGAGTTCCACACCTTCAGAATTCACCTGCGTCGGGGCTTCTTCAACTGTCATCGACGACGGCTCCTGTGGCACAACCCAAGTGAACTGACAATATTCGCCCGCAAGTTATACATACTTGGCGTCCTGGGAATTCAGACAAGTTGCGACGGGGCATGGCGAATTGAAATTTGGCCTCCAGTTGGCTTCGTACGACGGCAATGGTACCTCCCTTGGTTTAAAAACATCTAAGCTATCACTCTTACTTTAGACTGTCGACAATGAAACCTCGTAGTCACTATACCCAGGGGGCGACGTCAAAATTACCTTAGGTTGCCGTTGAACCCGAACAACGGTTTCGTCCACAGTATGTTGACCATGGCAAACTACCAGTCATTGTTCAGCTGATGCATCGCTCGTTTTAAAGGCTGCCTTCTACCATTGTATATTGTTGTCGCTAACGTTAGGAACACGAGGAGGTATCATGCTTCCGGATTGCGTTCTGTCGACAATACCAAGTCAAAGCAAGGACGGTTACACGCGGTTACATCGCCGTTTCACAGTTTGCCGCCCGCTAGGGCTCCGCCATGCAGTAGATGGAAAATCCGCAGCCCCCTTCGCCCTCCATACACCCGTTCTTGAACACAACGGTGGCTTCGCCGAGTGATGGAGACATATTCCAGCCCGACTACTGCGACACACCTCGCGACACCAAGCCCAACGCCAGGTCTGAGTGTGCTGTCTCGACATTGTGTTTTACCCCCTAGCAAATGAATGCCGTAGACCGTTCACAGCATCGGCATCCAGCGATACATTGTACACATGTGTGCATTACGGTCGTAACCTGCAGACCCTCGTGGCAGCGCCACCGACGTCCTTTGTGGTGTGTCGGGTTGGGCGGGTGCTGGAACCGTCCAATGCGAGCGAGTTTTGGAGCTGTCCCCACGGCGAAAAGCACGTGTACTCGATGGCGTACACTCAATTTGCCAGCTCTCGAATCGTCGACTCTGTGCGTCCCACAGGGCTTGTCATGCGTGCATCACAATTGTTCTGGTAGAGTTTCGATCCAACGTTCAACGAATTGCTTGTCGTCAATATTCCCCCGCATGCCAGCGCGGATGGGGCGGGAGGGGGGTGGGGCGTCCGACTGGACCTTATCCAGCGCCCAAGTGCCAACAACCAAGGCGACGACATCCTCTTGGCGTTTGCTTCGCTACCTCTCGACGGCTTTCGACCTGGAGCTGAGTTGTCCATGACTCTAGCCTTCCCTCGACAAAGTCAAACCACCACCACCGAGCAGGCGGAGATCTTCGTCACGATGTTTCGACAACGGCGGTACATTCTACACTGTATATATGATTTCGTGAGTATGTTTGATGGTGCTATACACAGGGACGCTGCAATGTCGACGCTGTGGCATCGCCTCGAGTTGACCATCGACGCTATGCCAGCTACCCACGGGAGTTTGAAGCACGAACAAACGATCGCAGTCGTTCAGATCGTTCCCTCGGCAACGACGTCGGTGCCGCTCTTGGTCGAGTCCCCCCTGGTGGATATTCCATTCCTTTTCATGCCTTGACCTTACAACCGCAAATATAAATACCCTACCCTAGCCGTTCCCAACCATTCGTTGCCATGCTGACTTTGCAAAAGCGAACGAGAGCACCAACAATTGCAGGGTCACCCCCGGCGGCCACGGGGACAGCACCATGTTTGGATGGCGATATCCCGCGCTGTTTGACTTTTCAATTGTTCCAAACGCGTTCTTTATTCAGGTCGCCCTATATGCCCCCAAAGCCACGTCCACGGTAATCACTAATATCTTCACCTCAATATATTTTGTGATTGTTTGGTTGTAGTACGTTTGCGTGGGGAGCAGCGCAGTGACCACGCTCGCTGTGCCGTCACGACAAGGGTCTAGTGTTCCGTGGCCATCGATTTTGATGCGGATGTCGGACGCTCCGTGGGAAATGCCTCTGCATGGTACGAGGAGAAATTCTATCGACGACGTGAAAGGGGTTAAGTGGTGGGTAGGGATGCTTCGGTGGTGGGAAGGCGCATCGTGGCAGGATTTCCGGAAACAACGTGTGGTTTGTACGAACCGGCTGCAAGCCACCAACCAATCACGGACAGTCCCACAATGGATGGCTGCGATCGCTCGCGGTCTTAACCGACACCCGATCTCCACGGTGGTGGACACGGGCGGAATCGTCGGGATGATTGCTGCTATGTACCAGTGTCGGGATACCGCGTCAGACAGCAACGACCAAACCCAATTGCCTTCCAAAAAGCAAGACGATCCTGCCGTGGGCAATTGGCAGGCGCAACTGCAAGGACTCGTGGCTGAAATCGCTGCCAAACAAGCCTTTATGGACAAGGTAAGGGGTGGCCTATGTACCACCATGAAAGCCACTCTGTCGTACATGACGCTCTTGGTAGATGCAAATGGAAATGGACAAGCGAACCAATGCCATCAAATCTTGTGGTGTGGAAATTGTCGACTTGCGGGTACGTTGCTAAGTAGCCAGATGATGGCTGTTGTGAGGGCATCACCCTGCCTGACACGTTGACAGAAAAACGTCCAACGCAAGGACCAGCTAATTCAAGCGCTTCAATTGAAACTGCACAACTACGAAGTGCTCGAACAACGACAGCAAGAGGTACGTTCTACCAGACATGTTTTGAAACATGTTTATAACGATCCATAACACTTTAATTACACCAGGAAATTCGACTTTGCCTCGATGGCCATGGCGTGAGCACCACCAGCTTCCCCGTACTTGCCCAACACTACACTAAACTTCAGAGCAAACACAACACACTGGAAGCGTCCCACGCACAACTGTCCAAAAAGCTGCTCGAAGCCCGGAATTTCGAGGCTGAACTCCTTGAAACCAAGGTCCGGTGTTATAATCTCCTTTGTAATGACATACAGACACGACCACAACCTTTGATTAGATACAGTACAAAGCCCTGGAGGCGGCTCACTTGAGCCAAGCCAACTTTATTCAAAAGGCCAACGCTGAAATGCAAAAACTCGCAGTCTACAAGGTTCGTTTGTCCGTTCGCTGGTCGATCGTACTAACCGATGTCTGTAGCAAACCATAGCGACACAGGAAACAGTGATCGGGAAGCTCGAAAATCTCGTCGAATCCAAACTCGCAGAGGCCAAAGCCAGCTCCGTGGGGCCAAATGTCCACGTACGTTGGACTTAATTATTTTTAACTTACAAGGGCGTTGGTTGGGTAGGCGGAAATCTTTCGACTACGGCTTGAAAACTCCTACCTGAAGGAGCAACTCACGTTCGTCACATTTGCAGTAAAATATCATTGCAAGGAGCTCCAATTTGTCATTAGGCTACGGTCCGCGTCGTCCATGCAAGAGCAGCCGCACGCTTTGTCCAAGGCTAACCTCGAACCACTGGCAGCCGGCAAGTCTACCTTTTCTACATCGTCACGAGCGCTGCAACCGTTAACATCGACCACCCCCCCTCGCCGTCTCAAATCCCCCAATGTCATCACGACTCCCCCGTCGACTCGGCGACTACGCCCACAGCCCAATCAATGCGATACACTGACCAGCGTTGCCCCCCCACAGCCAGAAACGACAGACGCTAGCACCAATACGGAGCCATCCTCTCCCGTTGCCGCGGCCCGCATGTCAGTTCCATCCACCGACCACGACGACAACGACAAGACCGAGGACGTCCTGCGGGTCAAGATTCGCGTGTTGGAGGACCAGTTGCGCCTCAACACGACGTCCGCCGCCCAGGAAATCGCGGCGCTGAAAGCGCATGTGTTTGAGCTTGAACTCGAGTCCCAACTGCACTAGTACTTATTTGGACTCAAGTACTGGCAACTAGGTACTAGTAGACCGTTTATTTAACCCGTTCGTTTTACATGGCCAGCCAGTTGTTGTTGCCGATTGTAAGCGCCATGGATCGCATGATCAAGTCGCGGAGTTCGTTCCAGAGCATCGGCTGCTGCGCCTTCATGCGCATGTACTCGTCCCGGGTCAAGCAGTACACGGTCGAGTCGACGTTGGACCGTGCCGTCATGTGGCGCGGCTGGTCGAGGAAGAAGTCCACTTCGCCAAACATTCCCCCCACACAAACCTTTTCCAGCATCGTAATCGACGAGCTCTCGCCGTGATCGACGCTGCCATCTTTGTTCATGTACAAGTCCACGCCGCCCCCGGCCAAGATGTAGAACGCCCCCGAAGCATCCGAAATCTAGGCAAGAAAGTAACATTCGACTCGTTTCGACCAACAAACGATATACGTACGACGTCTAAAGTTGCTGTATTTCGTAAACAGCAAATGATATATACAAAGTTGATGTTTTCCCCAATCAGGAAAGAAATGATATATGAAATAATACAGCGTCACCACAAAGTTGACTTTTTTGTCACCAGAAAATAAAATATTGTGGATTCGCTATAAACTTCCAAAATTCGCCTGGTTTGTCGAATCAATTTTCAATCACGGCGGAGTTCTGATTGGTTGAATATACTTGTCCATTCTGCAAGAGCCAATCAAATTCACTCAAAAATGGATTAGCCAATCGCGTGGGGGCGAGATTAATCGATCCGATCGACGGGGTCTGGAAATTCGTATCGAATCCACAATAACAAAATTGATCCATTATTGTATTGTAATTTTAACAAAATCAATGAGAAAATTCTTCATCTTGTACCTTTATTTTCAATTCAACGAATTGTCTTCTTTGAATTGAAAAAAAGCAAAGTCACTAAACCTGCTCAAATAAATGGATTTTTGGCGAAACTAGATAATGATATATATATACAGTATACGACGCAACAAACATTCCTTCGATATTGAAACAACTAAAAATTGATATATATATGTGTGCTGTACGAACCTTGTAAAACGAGTGGTCGTGGCTGACGACGACTTTGGTGAAATATTCGGCCAACGGGTTGAAGAACTCGCTGTCGTCTGGTCGTCCCACAAATCGATTCAACAGTAGCGGCAACGTCTCGTTCGGCCGAAAGAAGGAATTGTTGCGTGAATTGAGCACGATGTCCGTTTCGCAGCGCTCGACGGCGGCGTCTCCGTTGCGGTGAAAGTTGCTCTCGTCAGCGATTTCGTTGTTGAGCAACAGCGTCTGGATCTCTGGGAGGACATTCGCGTACAGAATCTCAATGCGGTGGCTCGCGCACAGTTCGCGGAGGATCAAAAAGCAACTGCGCGCGGCGGTCGCGTCCATACCCGTCACACGCTTAAAGTCGAGCACCAAGTACCTACGTTGTCACAGATGAATCACAACGGAATGGAGAATCAGATATACCGCGTGGGCAAGCGGTTGGTGGATTCTGAAGGGGCGAGGGGCGTGCCGTCTAGATGCTCGAGGGTGACGGCGCCGCCTTGTTCGAGCGCGCCGTACGGTTGAAGGGCGGCGGCGTGAGAAGGATGCACGAGAACCCGCAGCTCCTTCTTCACGTCGTTCATAATGTGCACGGCCGTGCCAAAGAAGAGGTATCTATTCCATATTGTATGTGTATTGGTTTAGTTTATATGTGCAATGTAGATCTAGCATTTCATAATAATAAAAATGTGATTCCCAAATATATACATATATATATATTAATTATTTTTACCATATATATATATATATATATATATGTAAAAACCAATTAAGGTAATTTGAAAGGACAAACCAACACAAGATTGTACGTATGCAGGGACAAGGTCCAATGGTACAGTTTCAACCGTACCCGTGAAGTTCGAGAAACACAATCGAGTCGCGCTCTTCGGCAATGATCGTCCGCGACACAAAGTTGCGCACGGCGGCACTGCGCTTGTGCACCCGCTGGACTTGGCGCACCTGCGAGTACCCGACGAAGAAGTTCATGATAGCAAACCCAATGCCAATCACCATGCCCCCTTCCAAATCCACCACATTGATCGCAATGAACGACAGCCACAACACCAAGTATTCGCGGAGGAGCACCTTGTGGTACACCAGTACCAGCCTAACATCACATACACATCAACTTGTATCGTGATTCATCACACATCCTCACATTCGAATCCAATGCAAACAGAACTGTCATGTACAGTGTGTGACCACGATGAAACGATATATAGCACAGTGATAAATATATGATATATTTCATACTCTTGCATGATATATATACCAATACACTTCTTCATCTTACGATATAATTCAAGTATATGATAGTGATATATACATATGCATGATATACACACGATAGTGATCTATATATATGATAGTGGTATATGATTTATATTGATATCATACGATACCAAGAGTACTCTATTTCAAGATGCTAGACGATATACTAGTAAAGTGCACATCATGTGCATAAAGCCTTCACGATATATACTGTACACTAGTATGTATATATAGATAGATCGTCTTGTTTTACCATTCAACCATCAGATCGATGGCAATAAAGATGAGGGTGGCAGCAAAGAAGAAGCGCGGGACGTAGCTCAACAAGCCCATGGGCATGACAACCAGAGCAAACTCGCTCAGAATGACCACGAGCCCCACGACGCGCGAGTTGGTTTTGGACCGGTACGTGAAGATCGTCTGCGAAAAAATGTACGACCCAGTGTACCCGCCGAGGAGCCCCGACACGACGTTGGACCAGCCCACGGACGCCAGCTCGTGGTTCAAGTCGAGCTTCTGGCCCATGTCCATCTCAATCGCAGCCACATCCAAGCACGACCCAAATGCCACCACAAACGTCATGCCTATGCGATACAGTACATGTAGATCCGTCAGGACTGTACGACCAAACGATGTCACATACGAACGAACGACAATGTCTCGATTATTCGAGTGGGGGAGACAATCGATCGACCAATCAAAACACACAACACGAATGCACTAGCCAATCAAATACACGCATTCCACTTCTACTGCGACACGGGACGATATGTTGTTTACATACAAACTTCAATACAAAACCAATCGATGGATGGATTTGGTGAATCAGCACGAACAATATATCCAAAGTTTGACTGAAAAGGGCAATCAATTCATGTATCAGTCACGATATTGTCGATTCGAACAACTCAACCAAAGTCCGATAGACACGAACAGACGACACTGCGAACAACAATACACGGCTCGAATTAGCCAACGACTCAATCTCGAATCGTACCGAGCCACGTGGTGATTTGAGATGGCATCACATGCCATTGCACGTCCTTGAGCGAGAACAGCGACAACATGTCGGAGAAGTTGGCGTCCGGAGTGAGCTGACCGACCCACCCGGCGTCGCGCGCGTCCGCCATCGAGTAGCCAAACCCAAACAAAAGCACGTAAAAGGCAAAGAGGACACCGACGATCACTCCGGGGAGGGAAAACGCGTCGTCGCACTTCTGAGACACGAACAGAAACACGTAGCCGCCGACGACGCCGGGGAGGCACAGCACGATGTTGTTCCATGTCAAGAGCTGCAATGTGGACGTGAAATCGTTGATAACCAGCCCCGTGCACAGCGACAGTCCGGCGAAGAGGCAGAAGAGCCCAATGTAGGCTAGGTACCCGCCGACGACTGGCATCGGTAGGTAGGACACGAGCCCCGCGAGTTTGAACTTGCCCAGAGCAACTAGAGTTATTCCAAGCAAGGCGGTGGCGAGCCCAATGGTCACGACGGTGGTGGACACCTTGGCTTCGAGGGTTGCTTCGGGTCCGAGTTTGACGCAGATTGAGGTGGCGATGGCACTGAGGAAGATAAGCCCAGCGTCCTGCATCGTTGCTGGGATGACGTGGCACGTGGAGAACGAAGAAGCGAATGTAGGTACGTACTTGCACTTGACCAATGGCAAACGGAAGTGTGCTCAGCAGGCAAAACATGATTTGGTGCACCACGCTCGACAGCATGACCAGTTTGGTCAAGATGGGCATGAACGTGGCAAAGTCCGGGTGGCTAAAGATGATCGCGGCATATCCGTACATGGTCGGAATGGCCAGAATTGCATTGATCACGCCGTAAATGGTGTTGCGCGTCAACCGGGCGGCAGCCGACGCGGCGTCGGCGGAGGACGATGCCGGCGGGCCACCAAGCATGCTTGACTTGTCCGAAAAGTCGTCCGCCAGAGCGATGGAAGGCACACGGAAGCTCGCTCCACGGTGTCCTATCGCCTTGGGTGTCGCACTGTGTGGCGTCGAGGCTAAGTGTAACACCACGTTCACGATGATAAGGTGAGGATGGAATCAAACCTGATGGCGCCGGCGAGCGGCTGTGCCGTGGAGTAGCACCTACGATGGACGCGCATAAGTATGGGATGGATGATGCCATGGGGTCGGTCATGAAGTACCTACCGGAGCGCGCTGGAGACCTCATCACTTGGAGGATGCCACCGAATTGTGAAGTGGGTGTGCTGCCCAGCGGAAAATCAACCAATCAAACAGCAGGAATACCTCGCGACATCGTGGAAATCGAAGATTTCATCTATTCGCGTATTATACTTGGTAAATGTATACTTCGGCATCTAGCCCTGAGAGGCAACTCCTCAATGGGCTCGAGTGAGGATGCAGCTTGCTAGGGGTCGATGGTGGACCTGTGTGCATGTCTAGGTACATCGCGTTCATAAGGATGTTGCCAAAGCATGGGATGACTGGAGTGAGCTTGCAGTACAGAGCTCTAGCAGTGCTGCAGAGCGATGGGCTGCTAGTACCGGTACAATGCCGCCAGTTCTATCGCACTAACAGTAAGCTACAGTACTGCAAGCAGCAGTCAAGGACGTACTAGTACATTGTACATAGCTGATTGAATATGCATAGTACTGTAATGGACGCTTCGATGATGATTGATGAATTGGGCGGAGGGTTTGAGGTGATTGGTGTGTCAGGTTGAGTGTTAATTGCACCGTGATTGGTCAAACGCTTTGTAACTGTAATTTCGCAACTGTTCAAGATCGAACAAGATGGCCGCGCGCGGTAAGCTCGGCACGCGCAACAGTGTGATCCTGGATATTCCAGCAGCGCTGGCCTCGTCGTCGTACGGCAGCCACAATAGCTCCGAAGTGTGCTTCTCCGAGTACTACTACACTTTGGTGTTTCCCAACACGCCGCACGACTTAACTGACGTCGCGGGCGAGCGCATTTCGTTTGCACAAGCCAAAGCCATCATTCGGGAAGTAACATGTGGAGGCGAAGCCAACAAGACTCATGCTGTGAACGAATTCATCCAAGCTTGGGTGGAAAAGTTCCGGTCCGTGTCTCCCATCGACGTCGACACGATCCCCGTGGGGTACTTTCGCGAAGTACGACTAACGTTACATTACCGTTATGATGTGTTTACCGGTGGCATACCCCTCATATTGGTGCAATGTGCCTGTAGTTGATGCGCAACATTGTGATTCAGCGGCTCGAGTCCATCCCTGGTCTGTCGTTAGTCACGTTCACATCGTCGTCGAGTTCTGAAACCAAAGGAAACCTCGTGGAACCCCCTAAGGAGTCCAACAATGACGCAGAGTACATTTACTGTTTGATTCGAGTGAGTCGCGACCTGCTGTTCCAGCAAGCGGATCTCCACAACCTGCTCGTACCAATCTGGCCCGAAGTTGATCCTGGCAGCGAGGTACCCACCTACCAACTACATCAATACCATGATACCTAATGCTTGCTTTCATCCTTACGACTAGTATTGGGACATTCACGGACCTGAAACGGTGTGGACCGTCGACGACGCCGAGCGAGAACTCAACCGCATGTTCCTTCAAGGGGAAACCCAAGCCGACGAGGCGCAGCTGTTTGACGACGAGTCCCCTGCGATGGTGTCACGCCGCATCCACGCCATCCAGCGCATTGCCGACCGGTCGATCCAGCCGTGCTACCATCCGTCGCCGCACTTGTACTTTCCCTTTCGCAACCACCCAGCGTACCAGTACCTGTATCGACACCTCGAAAGCAGCTGCCAAGCCAACATGCCATTTCGCATTGTGGACAAGATCCGCGTCACCAAGGGGCTGATTGACGGCGAGTTCAACTGTGACTTGCTGCGAAAGCACAACTTTCTCGTCCATCACATGTGCGTGCACTCTCGAGACCCGAGCGACGAAGACGAAGTCACGCTGGACATGCTGTGCGATCAGTGGGGCAGCCTTACGTCCTTCTGGCACGCATGGAGCCACGGCCATTGCCGCCATCTTCTCGGCGTGCTGTACTACCAACCCATTGACCTCATTCGGCACTACTTTGGCGAGCAACTAGCACTCTGTACGTGCACTGTATATATATATATATAAAATATATGCACTAGACAAGCAGGACGTTATTCCTAACACTCACACACACGCTCATAACGCCGTGATAGACTTTGCGTTTCTGTCGTTTTATGCCGCCCAGATGGTGCCCCTGGTCGCATTGGGGCTTGCGGCCCCGCTCATGAAGTTTGTACTGCGCGCTTCGCACCTCGTGTACTACAACACGGGTCTTGCCGTGTTCAACTGCCTGTACGCCGCACGACTGTTGCGCAAGTGGAAAGTCCAGCAGCGCTGGTATGCGTGTATATGGGGCATGGAGGAAGTCGTGTTTGACAACTCTGTGCGCGCGGAATATGTCGGTTCGATCCGCATAAGCCCCATCAACAACCTGCCAGAAATACACGCGCCCGCGTCCACCCAAGTACAGTCGCAGCATTGCGTTCATCCCAACCTCGAGACGCATTTCCCATTTTGTAGGGGATTCGGCGCCTCCAGAGCTCAACGTTGCTGTGGATGGCTATTGCGATCGACGGCGCCCTGATTTACGGCGTATTTGCCCTGCAACATTACGTCGAAGCCCAATGGACCAGCCATTCCATGTCTGTGTACTCGTACATTGCAATTGCGTTTATAATCAACTTGTCGCAGTCCCCGTTTCACGCGGTAAGACTCTTCTGGTTTTCCTATATCCGAGTGACGTTTGACGGTTCTTGGGGTGACCACAGGTCGTTGTGTACTTGAATGAGTGGGAAAACCATCGCACGACCAACCAGTACGACGTGGCCCTCACCGTCAAATGTGCGACGACGTTGTCCCTTATCTCATTTTTTGTGTGTGTGTTTACATCCAACGTTGTGGTAATAGTCTCGACATTTCAAACGCTCAACTACTTTGGGCCGATTTTGTTCTCCATGTTCTTCAAGCCGTACTTGTTTGGATGCAACAGTACCAAACTGCCATCGCTGGACGCCGCGGCCTGTGCCACCGAGACGGCTAACCTCCTCCTCGTGGTACTCCTCTTCAACTTTCTCCTGTCCATGCGGGACATTGCCGGCCCACTGGTCGACTCCATATCACATGCCGTACGTACGCGGTACCAGTACGCTACCCGCCTCCAATCTACCTACGTGTACGCCCCCCCTTCTCCCCCTCTCCCCCCCTCCATCATCGTGTGTCTTTGCCTCCCAAACGAATGAAACCACGGTGTGTGTCACCTTCTAGTCCTCCAACGCTGGACGCCGAAGTGCAATTGGAAGCATACGACGGTGTGCTTTTTGACTATGCGCAGATTGCCATTACATTCGGGTACGTGTCGTGGTTTGCCGCTGCGTCGCCCCAAGCTGCGATCGTAGCGTTTGCCATTACATTGGTCCAGGTACAACCCCTAACCCCCGAAACCCCCTAAACCCCTTAATCCCCTAACCGCCGAACCCCCTAACCCCCTTAACTCCCCGCTCAACTCTAACGCAAGAGTAGATTCGCGTGGATGCGTACAAGCTGTGTTTTTGGATGCAGCGGCCGTTTCCAGTGGCGACGGCCACGATTGGCGGATGGACGATCTACTTCAACATGATTTGTTTGGGCGGTGTGGTCGTGAACGCCGCGACGGTCGTCCTCGCGGAAATGCTGACTCATCAAGCGCATATGAAATGGGAGGCGATCCCGACCAAGAATTGGCTCAGCCACTTGTTTTCCCTTACAATTCTCATGGCTGTGCTGTATGCATTGGCGCTGACTATGACCATCTACGATACCGACGACAGGTCTAAGTTGCACCACATTAAGAGCTTGCAAACTCGCCAAGAGTACCTCCGCAACGTATACCTGTACCAGCTGACCAAATCCACATCCAGTCGCGAACGCCCCCGCGGGGGTATCTACCTCAACGGTACGTCGTTGGAAATATGACTGAAACGCTTGCTATGTTTTTCTCATTCTTTTTACTATTTTTGGAAATATATATATATAAGTATTATTTTATACCGTGTACACTGGTCTACCCGCCTGAGTTGGCGCGATGGTCCCTATAAAATGAACTGTGACCCCCCCCGTATCGCAACCAATTCCGTACCTCCAGTGGAGAGTTATCGTTTAAACTATTATGCATGGCAAAACTAAGTTTGCCTTACTGAACAACCCCCCTCAACGTGCTGTGTATTGCAGGGGTGTACCGGTACATTATCAGCGGGGACGTAGACGATGGCGACCAAGTGGACGAGTTGCGGGATGAACTGCACGTGTTGGAGCGCGCGATTCGTCTGGAGCGGCCGGACGAGTCGGAAACCATCGGGACGTTCCATGTGGTTGTAGTGGGTGCCAACATCCTGCCTGTGATGGATCGCTCTACGAAGGCGCTGGACGGGTTTGTCAAGGTCAAGCTCAAGCTGGGCGACAAGGTCCTGCCGTCCAAACACAAGACGGCTGTGAAGCGCAAGACCCGGAGTCCTGTGTGGAACGCCGCGTTCGAGTTCAAGATTGTGAGCTTGGATACGTTGGTGCACTTGGAAGTGATGGACTGGAACATGGTCGGCAAGAGCGACCACGTCGGGCTCGCGACGATGCCTGTGACAAGTGTACTGCCTACATCCACCGACTTTGCCGATGCTGACATTGACGTACGTACGACACAGTGATAGATGGGTACTCATTCCAACCACGGACACACAGCATTCCAACCTTGATTTGAAACATTCCACCCGTTGACTTGATACATTCCAACCTGACGCTGTCGCATGTTTTTTGCAACCCAAGCATTGCTCCTAGTATCTATATATTGAATTATCAATAGGGGACATGCGATATGGTGGCGGTGGACATCCCCGTGGACTTAGCGGACGGACTGCTTGAGTCGATGGCCAAGGACATTCCAAAGTTTGGCCGACCGGTGCTGCACGTGAGCATGGGCGTCAAACTCAACGCGGTACGTAACGGTCGCGTTTTGGTCGTGGAGTCGTCATGGTTGTTTCGTGTGTGTATGTATGCAGCAAGGTTGCGTGCATTTGCGCCACCACAACCGAAAGCGACGCGTCCAGGCGATTCTCCAGGACATGCAAACGTACTTGGTGTGGAAATCCGACGACGAGTAACCAACACAAGGACCAAGACTATATCGAATATAAATAAGATATGAAAAATTAGGTAGTTTTGGAGGTCTAGACACTGAGAGTGGACGTGGTGGTGTGGGGCAAAGTCGTCGTAGCACACCCCGTGTCGGGCGAAGTGGCTTCAAGTGGCAGCCGCCGTTGCAAGTAGAGCAAACAGAGCACGGGAAACACGGTCGGCACGAGTTCAGACCATACTTCGAACGGCAGCAGCGGCATGTCTGCAAACCCAGACACACCGAACGCCGCCAAGACCTTGAACAGCAGCCGAATCCAAGTCGTGCCCGTGATCACGCCCACTGACAGCACCAGCTTGACCATGGATCGGTTAAAGTCCTGCTCCGACACAAACCGCTGCGACTGCAGCAGCCGCGTCCGAATCTTGAGCCCTTGCACGATCAACAAGATGGTCGTGGCCAAGTACATCGTGCAGCCTACGACCACCAAACCCGAGCGGAGCGGGCTGTCACGGAACGCATCTCCTCCTACGGACGTGTCTGGGTACGACACAATGCTGATGCACGTGACCACGGCCCAAGCGAAAACACTGACGTTCACGACGATCACGACGTTGCGGAGGCTACAGGGACCACTTGCTTGTGGCCCCATGCCGATGTTCTGGCCGGTGGCGGCGACGCCAGCCCATTCGACACACACGTACGAGAGCGCCAAGTTGAGCAGAAGCATCGCGTACAAGGACGTGACATACGTGAGGATCCAGGACTCAGTTGTGGGCATCCAAATGTACGCCGCGGACTTGGGCATGCTGAATACGATGACCTTGAGGAGCACGACATGGAAGAGAACTCGAGCAGTGCCGCTGTTGTGGCGGATATGGAGGTAGATGCGGGAGGCTGTCGCGAGGCCGAGAATGGAGTACATCGCTAGACAGAGGATGCCTGTGACCTGGAAGTCTGTTACAGACGTCGCGTACTTCATCACTGCTCAAATTCTCGATTTGGGAAGCACGATCGATGCAGATCAAGGAAGCCAGTGCAATATTGATCCGTATATACTGTACTAGTATGCACGAATGCTCTCTCCCATAACTTTTACTATTTTTATAGTAAAACCATGAATTCAAAAATAATACTATTAATACTCCGTAGTAGTACGTATTATTTTTGAATTCATGGTTTTTTTTATTTGGGTCCAAGTCCGACACTGAGACGTATCCGGACAAAAATATTTTCGCAATCCAAAAAATGTCGATCAATACTTTTTCGTTTATTATGAAAATGAGTGCCAGACTATTCCAGGCCATTCCTGAGCTATTTATCATTAAAAAGTTTTAGGGCTCCTCTGGATATCACGCCATAAAAATATGCCAAAACTCGAAATGAGATTTTACAAAATTTGTCCAATATACAAACGCAATACAAAAAGAAGAGGTGGTGAAACCGTCTGGATTCATCTGGATTGTGCGCCAAAACGATGCTCACGACCATGATGATCCTGCTCGTCGGCGGCGCCTCAAGCGACGTCGCATGATGTTGATTTCATACCTGGTCTACCACTACTCCGCCTACCTCTTGAAGACGTCAAAGCAGGTCTCCATCTTGTCGGGGGCTTTGTGGGTTGCCGAAAAAACGTTACTGCAAGGAAACGAGGATGCCTTCGTGGAGACGTTTCGAATGTCCCGTGATGCGTATGGTGGACTGCTGCACGATCTCGTCCAACGTCCAAGGGCCCATCTGTGTGCTGTGTGGTTGCTGCGGTTTTCGAAATGCGCCGTTTTGACAGAACATTGATGTTGAAGTGGTCACATGGACTGTCTTTGCATGAGAAATTGACCTTATTTATTTTTTAGGGCTCCTCTGGATGCCACATTTTATGTCATAAAATAGAGAATTTCTCCATAAAATGTAGAAATGACAAAGTCTTCAATTTTTGTCGTCTGGATAACACAAAGGCGGACGAACTCGACATCTCCTGGCTCAAGGAGCTTGTGTACCAAGCGGTCGTGGTTGGGAAACGTGCGCGCAGTGGAGGCGTGGATCGAGGCGCTCAAGAAGCTCAACCATAGCCAGCCTCAAGGCCCACCGATGCAACAGCTCAAATCAAGACTCGTCGTGTGCCGCGTATATCGCCACGTCCTTCGAGGTGGAAGTCGAGTCCACGGAATGCTGAAAGGTTTTGATGTAGGCATCCTCGTTACCTTCGAGCTTTTCAGACACCCACATGGCCCCAGTCAAGACAGAGACGCGTTTGGATGTCTTCAGCAGATAGGCTGAATAGTGGTATGTCATGTACGCAACCATGATCCATCGTCGGCGTCGTCGAAGGCGCTGTTGGAGCACACATAGTTGTAGCTTCATCCGAGCTGCGTGCAACTTTCGCGCGCAATCTAATTTCAGCGAGATGACAGTTTCATCATGTGGATCCAGACGGTTTCTCAAACAATGTTTTTTGGTATGGTGCAAGAAAGCTAGAAACGACGAAGTGGCCAAATTCTTGGAATCGAATTTGAAAGGTTTTCGGGCACTCTTAACCTATACCTAACCTGCAAAATTGCATGTCAAGTGAGCGATTGGCTGATTGGGTTTTTGATTTCCAACATTCTTTTGAAACCATGAAATTCGCGTTTGCGAAGCCCACAGGTCGATTCAGGCCCTGAGACTGCGTTTACACCAAGA